ACTTTACACTCAATATTTTGTATTTATTTATAGATTTATTTAAAATTATTAATAATAATGTTTACCTTTCAAATATTATAATACATTGTTTTTGATTAAACCATTGATAATAATGATGGCATCAAATCAAAATATAAAAGAATTAAATTTATATAAAGTTTTATATAGTTATCATGTTTTGTCTTATATTTCAAACATACAAAAAATAACATTTTAATAAAATGTTTTAGTATTTATTATCTTGTGATATATTTTGTAAATTGACATTTTTCATGAATTTTATAAAAGTTTAATATATTTACATATATTTGCTATAACTTTTTGTCTGTATTAAAAATTATTTTAAATAAAATGATCTTGGTTTTAATATTGTTTATTTAAATAATTTATGATAAGCTAATTTATAGTAGTCTATAACATAATTTATATAATGATTATTTTATTTATGATGTTATTTAATATGGTGTACTTATGATATAATATAACTTTATAAAATAATATAATTTAGTTATTCAATTCATATCTGTAAAATTTATGCAATTAATAAATGTAACATTTCAAGCACAAAGGTTTACATTATATTATATAAATAGGACTTAATTTAATTTTGAAAACTCATTTATTAAACTTATTTTTTAAAAATGGTTAAAACATATATCATTAATAAAGTAAAAATCAATTATAAATCTCACGAAAAACAAAATTAAATACAAATTTTTTTCTAATAATAGAAGTTATTGTTATTTAAGATTTTTTTTAAGAATGAGATATAAATAAAGAATATATAAGTCATATATAACATGATTTGTATATATATAGTGTACTATAGGAGAGAGATTGTTAAAAAAGGAAAGACATAGCATTCAAAAGTTAAACTTATTTTGTGTGCAACTATACAATCAACTAATATATACTAAAGAGATTTCAATTGTATTGAAAACTGTTTGCTTTCTTTTCAAAATTTTTAATGAATTTGATTTCAACAAAATAATGAGATTTTACTACAAAATATATAATATTGAAAAAATAGGTTTCTATTGTATAAAAATATTTTAAATCATACTTTCAAATATGTTTCAAATAATATATGTTATTTTTAATATTTTATTTTGTCCATATATATTATAAAAATATCAAAAATATTTATATTTATAACAAATATACTCAACTATTTATAACATTTTTTGTTAATAATAACAAATATTTATTTATTATAATAGTTGATACTTTATAATTATATTGATTTCACTTATTACTAATACATTTTGTATGTGATTTATAAATATAGTTTTTTAATTTATAAAAATATCTTCCAATGCTATAAATTTTGTATTTATATTATGAATAATACTTAAGTTTATAAACATTAAATTGAAACATTTTTTATACATTTAATACATGTCAACAATGTTAATATTACATAATAAATCTGTATCTTAACTAATAATATTTATTTAAATATCTATTGTACGAACTTTATAACTTTAATTAATAAATTTTACAATATATTGATGGATAATCAGTTGTAAAAGACAACATTTGAGTATAGTTTATATAATAGTGATTATTGTCTTATAAAACACTCCCAAAAGACAAAAACAAATCCCAGTTTACTATATATGAAAAGCAACTGAGTTTAAGTTAAACTCTTGTTAATAGCTTTGAGGCAATAAAGTATAATAAGACAATAATATTGTAAATCAAAACTAACTTTTTATTACTTCTGTTTTTTATATCAATAGTCAATATATAGTAACACAAATCTACTATATCTCTGCTTCAAAAAAAATCATCAATTTTTTAAAACTAAATATCTCTTGAGATGAAAGTTTTGAAACAAAAGTTTGATTTTTATTTTAACAGAAATTAAAAACAAACCTTTTATTGCTTTTTTATATGTGAAAATTTGCTTCAAATAACACTGAATAATGAAACATATATCTCAGTTATAAAACCAAAAAATATTTTTATCTATAGTATATAGAGATGGGCAAATAGAAAGTTTCTAATAAATTTCTCAGGAATAAATTTCTATAGAAATTTAACTTTATTGTTATACTATGGGATCCCCATATCTATAGCTATTGTAATAATATATAAATAATGAGACACTACTACTCATATAACATTATACTGTACTATACACTACTATAAAAATGGGATACCTATATGTAAAATAATTATAATTATTTAATAATAATCAGTTTTGTAAAATTTTAATAATCATTTTATTATATACAGTATATATAAGAATTTAAGATAATTAAATAAATTAATTGTTACTTTAATTAATAATTAAGATATTAATACTAAAATTTAATTATTACTTGTAAAAACAAAGTATTGTTACATAATAACATATATCGAGAAAAACAAAATTAACATGGGGATATCATAGATAGAAATTTTTTTTTTCGAAACTATCTAGAAATTTCTCTATTATTTTATAAATTCCTCTTTTTTGTCAACACTATTAGTAGAGATTCTATACCAACCGTAGTCCATAAGTATTATTAATCAAAACTTTTTTGATTAAATAACAAACGTTATTTATTCTAGCTACATAACAAATATTTAATTTCTACTTATATTATTATAAATCTTTTAATTTTTATAAAGGTTTAACTTAAAAATTATAATTAAACGATTATTATATTGCCTTTTACTGACTAAAATAAAATATATTATCAATTCCATAGTATTAAAATTATTTTTAACATTAATGATATTTGATTTTTATTTGCTGTAAACTATTTTGGTTTTCATTACATTTTTTAAATGAAAAACTAATATACATTATAATATGTTTTTAAAAAATGTGTTTTTTGTAATACAGTTATAAATTGTATTTTGTTATTAGAGAACACATAAATCTTCATAATATAATAAAAAATTAATTTTTATGTCTTATAAAATATAGAATTCAAATATATAAATAACTCCATAAACGTAATGATGATATACTGTATATAGAATTTTTAAAATAATTATTTTGTTTGGTGTCAAAAATAAAAAATAAATAACTTTATTTGAAACAATGAAAAAGACAGTTAAATGATTGAATGGATGTTTGTGTGAGATTTTATAATGAGATTTTAATGTATAATTTTATATAATATTTTATACACATTTATGATTTTCAAAACATTGCACTATTGATTGCATTGTTTTAAACATATTAATTTTAACTTTATCTATAAATGCAATTTGTTTTAATATAAAAATTGGACAAAATTTTGATTGCTATGAGAATAATTTTATTATATTTTGTCATTAATATTAGTTAATGTATTACAGTATTTAATATAAAAAGATTATGTGAACAGATAAAATGAATTTTATTGTAAATAATATCTAAATTATATTAATTATTTATTAGTAATTATTGTATAAAATACCAAATCAGTGAACTAGTTGTAAACGTTGCTACTTTGACTTATTAACTATAACTAAGTTAATATAGTTTTTAAAAAATTATGAAATAACATAACTTATTTAATTTATTTATTACAAGCCATTAAACAATTAAATTAAATATTAAATTCTTAAAAATTAAATTTGGTTAAACAACTATTAACTATAATAAGAAATTATTATAAAGTGCTTAATAATTGTAAAGTATAGTTATAGTTATTAGTAATACTCCATTAAATACCACAAAATGAATATTGGATACTAAATTAGCAGTTATTATAGATAACAAAAATAATAGCATATATATTTAATAAAAAATATTTATATAAAATTAGATTAAAATGCATAATATAAAAATCTATGTATATTTAAATTTTATTATAAAATATATATCAAAAATAAAATATTTTTTAATAATTTGAATAAATTTTCTTATAATAATATACATATTTAATTATTTAACTAATATAGTTCTTTGCTTAATAGTCACAATATATTTTTTATATATAATAGTAATATTTAAGTTTGTTAATTAACATAATATTATGATAATAGATTGGAATTTTAAACTGCATTTTTCTAATTGTTATTAATTTGAATATCAATAACTTGGAACCATCATTAATTAGAGTATAAAAATTAGTGTCAAATTTAAAAACATTATATTAAAACATTTTATGAAAATCCTAACTAAAAATTTAAACTGATTTTCGAAAAATAGTTAGTTTTAATTATTAATTATCTCTATACTATCTATTTTTAATAAAGATTTAATTCTAAATATTTATAAATATAAATTATAACAACAAAAAATCTATTATTTTAATAATAAATGAGTTTTTGAACATTCCGTTTAATAATAAATATTGTTTTAATTAAATTATATTTATAGATAGTATGCGAGTTTGTTTATATACACAATGTATAAATATTGAAGCAAATGTTAAACAATAATTGGCGACATTATAATGGATTTAACTAAACCATTGAAAGATAATGTTATAAATTACATGATTTGGTTTTAAATTATACAATGAGATTTGAAGTGATGCTAATGATGTGTGAGCTCTAGTAGTTTAACTGAAATATAGTATGTAATGGATGGCATTGGAGTGTATGGCATCAGATCATAGTGTCAGTCCCTTAAGGAATATTTACATTTCATGAGTTAATGGCTATTCTAATGCTTTATTTACAGGCAATGCCACCGGTATTGGGAGATATCGTGCCGTTAGATAACTACAAACTAATTACCAAAAACATGAAGAATATGCGCTCTTTGGTTGACATCACAACACTTTGCAATTGTTAGTGACGTTACCGTCAATTCATAGTCTTTCACTTGTCTATCACTTCTCACATTTCATGCATTTGTCCCAAAAGATAGCATTAATATCATCAAAATTAATGTAATTATGTTCTCAATAGTCATCATTTATTGAACTTAAAAAAGTTACATTAAACCACTGTCTCATTTTAGTTTGATTTTTAAATTTCAAATATACGATATCTCATCAAATGTCACATTAACGTATAAATACTAATTATATGTTATATAAAATAACAAATAAATGTAAACCTATAATATGGATACCGAAGTGTTGAACATTTTGGTCACTAATATAACTCTTCCTTTGTGTCCAAACACAACCATTGAAAGCATTGAAAACAATACATCAAAACAATATATATGTATATCTAGCAACTGGTCGACAGAAAGTGATACACAATTAATAGATACAGAGATATATGAACCGCCTTTCCATTTATGGCAAACAATATTTATAGCTACATGTATAGGCATTTGCATTATTTTGACAGTTTTAGGTAATATTCTTGTATTGACAGCATTTGTTGTTGAGAGAGCCATCCGACAGCCCAGCAATTACTTCATCTGTTCTCTGGCCGTATCAGATCTGCTCATAGGAATCATATCAATGCCCTTCTATGCGGTATATGTTTTGGTGGGCCGTTGGGAATTGGGTGCTATTCCTTGTGATTTATGGCTGGCAACTGATCACACAGTGTGTCTCGTCTCTATTTATACGGTTTTATTGATAACTATTGATAGATATTGTTCAGTAAGAATTGCAGCTAAATATAGGAATTGGCGGACAAAACGAAAGGTTTTATGGATGGTTACCATCACATGGATTGTACCGTTTTTAGTCTTCTTTATCAGTATCATGGGTTGGGAGCACTTCGTTGGCAAACGAGAGTTAGAGCCCTATGAATGCGCCGTTCAGTTCCTTAAGAATCCTGTTTTCAATACATCTTTAATTATCGGATATTTTTATGTTACAATTATTGTACTTTTTATATTATATGGAGGCATATATAAAACAGCCAGCGATATGGCTCGTAAAGCTGAGGCCAAACAAAAAAAGATGCAAACATTAGTGGCTATGAGTCGACCAAATGAGACCCGACCAGGTATTGTCATCTCTAAAACTCAAAGCACTCTTTTAAGTCAAGACAAACCTAAAGGTCAGACAGCGGCCACTGGACTCACGGAACAACATGAAGACAGCGGCGCACACAATGCCGTCAAGAATTTAGAAACAACCAGTTTTAATGATAAAAAAGATAACTCAGATCAGGACAGATCCAGTTCACCCATATTTGACTCCGACGAAGATTCGCTTCCAACACAACATTCAGCACCAGTTAAACCTAAAGTTAAAAAAGTGACAAAAGTGACCAAAAGTGGAAAACATAAAATTAATGCTAATATCGGTAGAAAAAGTACTACTATTGAAGCTATCATTCAACCGCAGTCAACATTAACGGCACTTATACCCAGGTCTCCAATTATCACGTCATCAAATAAATTAGATATCATTCCTCCATTTAAAGACAATTCATTAAAGTCTTCAAAAGGAGAATTGAAAAAAATTAGTGAATTGGGATCAAAACATACAAGTTTTGATAATGAAAGTCTTGTATTTGATGACACGGACTTATCATATAATAATCATCGAAGACCGGAACCGCCTTCAACTTTAGATATTAAGCCCATCATTAACGAAGAACCACCCATTCCTTTGGAAGCAAATGAATTTGGTTTTATTGATCAGGAAAACGGTATTTCCATCGAGTCTTCCAAAGTCACTGATTTATCTATCAATAAAATTCAACAACAGGGCAATAGTGATGTCAAAAGTGTACGTAAATGTTATACAAATAAGACATGTGAAACAAGTGATAACAAGTCATCATCACCTACCAGTGCAAAGCAAATCACTTCAACCGGAAGAGTCACTACTTGTGTGGACTGCAATCTAACAGACAATTCAAAGACGACAACTCGTGTGTCAAAAAATGATGAATTGCAGCCAATTATAGATAATGAGCCATTGAATAGCATATCATTTAAAGAGCCCAAAGAGTGTCCCGTCAATGCCAACCCTATGACCAACTGTGGAGGTAATGAAGTGGACATAAGTAAAGCTCCTTTAGCTCAGAGTCTGAGCAAAAGATTACGAAACGGAAAGCGAAATAAAGAGAAGAGACAGAAGTCTAAGTCCGAGAATAGGGCGCGAAAAGCATTGAGAACTATATCTTTCATTTTAGGCGCTTTCGTCCTTTGCTGGACTCCTTATCACATCACAGCTCTTGTCGAGGGTTTCTGCAGAGATCGCATCAATGGATGCGTTAATCACCATCTCTTTTATTTCACTTATTTTCTCTGCTATGCCAATAGGTTTGTAATTAACATATTATAATTAAAGTTTGTCAATATATGTATTTGATTATTAATGTTTATGCAATAGACATGATAATCATAATGATTGAGAAAACATATTTTCATTAAATTTCATTTACAGTCCACTTAACCCATTTTGTTACGCCCTTATGAACCAACAATTCAAAAAAGCTTTCGTTAGAGTTTTGAAAGGAGATCTACACAGAACTTAATCACTATTATAATTATATGGACAACCCTTTCCTCATAACAACAATACACTACAACTTTCAACTATTCATCCATTATTTACACAATTAAATGCACCACAACTTTACTAACAGCTAACAAAAAAAGTTAATTTATAATACAATACTACTGTATTTATATTTATAATGCTATATCAATATTTTATTGTTATGTTTTAACATTTTGTGCATCAATTGATATATTAATTTTAAATGTTTTACTTTTTTAATAGATAGATATTTTTATTTAAAATTAATTTATTAAATAATTATTGTTAATTTAAAACTTTCATTAATGTTTTATAAAATATCATGATTATTTAATTGATGGTTGACTTATGGTCCAGTACACTCATTAATATCTCATTTATTTATGTATATTACTAAAACTGTATAAGTTTATGTATATAAAATATTTATCAAAATTAAGTTATGTAACATATGTTTAGTTAGTATGTAATATTGATTAGACATTTAAATAGCTATTAATTGTATACGTTATTAACTTATTTGTTTTGCAATTAAAAATAATTTATTACAATGCTTTGCTAAGTTGTGTAAGAAAAATAACATTTATTTATTACATAAAATTTAATTAGATTTGTACTTTTTAAGTCATATATCTTTTGTATATAATATTAATACTCTATGTCTATATATAAAGTAATATGTAACTTAAACAAAATGTTAAATTATTGTTAAAAATATGGTTATTTAATATATATATTATAATTTAATTTTATTGTTAACCATCTAAAGTTTACTCTATTATGATATTAAGTATGATAAAATAAATTAGAAAAATTTAAAAATGATATTTACAGTATATGTATTATATATAATAAATCATTTGATTTGATTTATTGTTGTGTTGAGTATAATTTTAAAAATAAAAGCTAATTAAATTTAATTTTTTGAAAATATATTGAACAATGTACCAGTACAATGGATTTTAAAAACAAATATAGCTTACAATTAAAGTTACAAAGCATAATTTATAAATTATAATTAATAATAATAATAATAATGTATAGATTGTATTTTAATTAATTTTTCATTTAATATATTTGTAAATAAACTTTTAATTATTAAAAATTTAACAAACAAGTTAATTTGCAAATTAAAGTTATTTTCATAATTGAATAATCAATATGTAAACAGTTTTATATAAACAAAAATAATTACAACTAAAAAATATTTTTTTTTTAAATATATGTAAGAATTTGAACATAAGTTAGTAATTGTTTCTTTTATTTAGTTATATAGTGATATGTAAGATGTTTATGAATGACGTGATCCGGATATTTGCTTTTATTTATTAATTATATTAAATAATACAATAAATATATATTTAGTTAGATTTGTATCTAAATTATAATAATATTTATAAATATATTCTAATTTAATATTGCATTCAATATAAGAATAGAAAGTATAAAAAGCAAAGCAAATATTTGTTTTATTTACAACAAAGTCTTCTTAATACTTCAAGTTTTTAAAATTATTTTTACGTATAATATTTATAAAATATTTTAATAATTAAGATATAATTTATGATACCACTTTATACTATTAGTAATAATTGAATTAATTAATAATTTTTAGTAATACCTTAAAACATAGGTTATAAGTCATTTTAGTATTTGCTTATTGTAATTGAAAAATACATTAAAAATAGATTTGATTCATTATAAAAATATTGTACAGTAATAGAGTTAATAATAGTTTTTAAAGACCACTGATATTATTAATTATATAAAACTCATGTATTATTGGTAATAGAAAATCGAAATTTTCCTATACAATTTCAAAATTAAACAACAAAAATATAAAAAACAAGTAGTATTCAATTTTTTAATTAATAACTTAAATGTCATGTATGATAAATATCATATCATAAATTATTTTACGATTCATAATTGACATGAAGTGATGTTAAAATAATTTCATTAAATATATTTTAGAAAATCAATGAATTGACATTTAATACGGTAATGTAATTATTGAAAAATAATTAACAAATTGTGTTAATTGTGTTAAAGTGTATTTTCAATTGAAATCTATTCTTATGTTTCTAAGCATACATTAGTGTCATATAAAATCAATAATGAATTTAATTCTTGATTTATAATATGATATCTTTTTTTGTTAGTTTAATAATGACTTATATTTTATTAGGTAAAGTATTAATTTTATTAACTATTGTATATTGTATATAAAAGATACTTAACATATTTTAACAAAATAATAAGTAGTAATAATAAATACATTTATTAATATTTAGCATAATATTTATTTTGTAACTTAAATTAATATCTATTATACTGTTCTATATATTATATAAATATCTCAATACAAATATTAATATTAAAAATACCTTAAAATGTTAATATAATTATAAATATATTATAAGCTTCTAATAATCAGTTTGTATTTATTATAAATATGAATAATATTAATAACAAATATCCTGAAAGTTATGTTAAAAGCATCGGTGAAAGTATTAACTGATTAAACAATCTTAATGTTGACAAGTTGTTGGACATATCGGTAATGATTAATAAAGATATACAATATATATATTATAAATTAGTCTCTCTTTTTGATCTTCAGCTCCAATTCATTAATTGACTGATCAAATGGTCCACAGATATACTTGCCTTTGCTATAAGATATATGACAGTCAGGTAATGATGAATAGTATTAATGAATAAAAGTCATACCTCTCTGGATCAGTGGATACCCAGAAATCATAAACAAGATCTTTAAATCTGTCGGATGTCATGGCGTTACCATTGGCCACGTCTTCTTCCTGTGCAATGTATGCAAAAATATATAGCAAAACTAAATCATTAAATATCTCATATAAATACAATTAGCATATATTTGAAGTGCTCTTCAGCTTTAGTTGTGTCCATATTATGAGTCGTCAGGTATTTCTTATAATCTTTTTGACAAAATAATGCATCTTCTGTTGAAATGTCAAATGACATCAATTAATTTAAATGATTGTCAATTATTAACAAACATATACTATATTATAATAGTTATACACATTTATACTTTTATTGATACAATGACTGCTCTATACATTATCCCATGGAAACTAATAAAGTGATGTTTTTTATTTTGTTGAAAACTTTTTAATAAAGTCTCACTAATGACTTTCTCGTAAAAAAAGGAAAGGGAGGAAAGGGAGGAAAGCAATAGATAGTACTAACTATTATAATCACAACAGAGAAAGAATAAGTGAAGATATGTCTTCAAGAATTCAGGCAATTCTTGATATGTTTTAGTATTTTTTCCCAATTTTTCAAAGAATTTAAGCCATTCATCGAACTCTACGAGAGTGTCCTACAAATTAAACAACAAATTAGACAATTATTTTGTAACAAACGAAATATTAAGTATGTTTTATCAATAAATGTGTTAATAAATTGATACCGACTTTATTTTCGTCGGCATAAGCAGTCAACTCATGCCACCACTTCTCAAATATGGCTTTCCATCGATCGACAACTTCTTTCTCTAACTTTCCTTTTCGCTGAAGTTTTGCAAAATTTTCAGCTAATGTTTGAAAGCTATTCCATGAAAGGATGCCGTCGTGATTGGCGTCTATTTGTTTTAATAAATAATTTTACTTTTTATTAAATAATTATTTTAAAACATACCCCAAAAGTTCAAAAATGTAAATAAATGTTTGTGTCTTAAAGACATCGATGATTATTGAAAATTTCTCTAAAAAGTTAATAATAAATAAAAATATTTTATTAAGAATAAAGTTTCAATAATTCAATATATTTATTAGTTTTATTTAACTATAAATAATATTGTATGTTATTAACTTAAATATTTTAGTAGAATTGAAATCTAACTAATACTATTAATAAACTAATAAACACATTTTAAATACTAAAAATCAATCATATTTAAATTCAATTTTTATTTTCTCTTATTTCTAAAAATAAATAAAGCAAATAAAAAATTTTCAATATAAATATTATATAATCTTAAAACTTAGTGTTTCCTTAAGTTAAGAATAGTGTATTTCAGGAAAAACTCTAATATAAAAAATGAAAATCTATAAAACTATTTACTATTTAATGTACTCTTTATATATCTATAAAGAAAGACAAAAAACGAAATATAGTAATATTAGTACAATGTTTTCAATGATGAACTAAAATTTTCACCGGAATCAGGGTCTATATAATACAGTATACTGTGTATTGAATGTAGTGTTCAAAAAACATCTAAATTTATCACAGACTTTAACACACATAAAACAAATTAAAATAACGATAATTACTTTTCTAAATCTTAGTTTTTAATTTTTTATAAAAGATATATTTATTAAACGCTATTAAATGTTATTAAATAGATATACTTATTAAACACAATATAGCTGTAACGATTCATAAAAATATAAAACGTATTTATTCACCCAAAAATATAATAATAATATATATATACATATATATGTCAATATTTGAATTATTCTTTATTAAATTAAAAATAAAATTATAACAAAATTATATCTACCTTTCAATCAAAATCACTAAACTTGATATAAATTCTTTAAATTATTTAAGTTAACAAATTCAATATAAAACTTGCAAAGCAAATGATACCATATGTATGTACTGTAAGTAATACTAATGAGTGAAAAATGTGTCTCAAAACCAAATAGAGTCTGACTCTAAAACTCAGTCTATTTTTAGTGCTTTTGGTTTTTTATAACAATTTTGTAAAAGCAATATAAACTAAATATTTACAAAACAAAAATCTGTCAAAAATTGAAAAGCCATTAATTTTTGTGGTATTATAATTATAATACTAAATTATTTATAATATCTTAATATACTGTACTTTAATGATTGATTTCAATTCTAAAACTTACTATAAGTATACTGTACAGTGTTGGCAGAGACAAAGTGTATGTATAATTCAAAGCGTATTATACAGTATAATACAATGTAAATTACATGACAATTTTGGCTTACAAAAAAATTTTAGCGCCACCTAGTAACAAAAATACAAAAATTCACAAACAAACATGTTTTGTAATAATAATTATTTTTTTATTTAAAAAAAATTTGAAATTAACTATTCAATTTAATTCTGGTATTGAAATATATTAATAAAATAATTAATATTAAATTTTAATAGTTTTAGAAAATAACGATTCTAATAACTATATTGAAATTATGTAATAATAATAATTTTAATAAAAAAATAAATATTTTATAATTGTTAATGTAATTTTTCTATAATTGTAAAATACATCCAGTACATTGTATTTTACTGTAATTTACAAAGCCAAAATTGAAAACCTTGTATTTTTCCAACCCTGATACTGTACTAACAATATATAAATTAATTTAATGTTAACATTTAAAATAAATCTTTATCAAAATAATCTTTTTTATTAAGCATTAAAATTATATCAATTTATTGTTTATATTAATAAGTAATAGTCTATTACTAATAGATATTGAATCCGACAATAAATACGCAATGACAAAAACGCAATTCTCAATTAATATAAATTTAAAATTTTCAAATAACTTATTGGCACTAAATTTGCTGACTATTGTTGTACTGAAAAGTCATGTCTAGAGGACACCAAATTTATATATTATTATTAAAACTAATTATAAAAATTTAATAGTAGTATTAATAATAAAATAGTAACATAAATAAATAATCAGTAAAAACTAAAAAAAAATGTTTATAATATTGTTGTTTTAACTAATTATCAACGACAATAGTTTTAACGATTGATTTGCTATTATATACAGTATAATTATCAATTATCAAGATTAAATAATATAAATTTTTCTATCAAGTTCCAGTATTAAATAATTAATGTATTAATATAATACAGGTACTAAATTTTAAACATCATAATATAATAATATAAATAATTAAAATGTTAATGTTAATGATTACTAAAAACTAAATAGATAATTTAATTATTTTTATAAAAATCTATCTCATGATTTTTTTAAAATTTTAAATATCCAAAATAGTAAAATAATTTGTCACACAAATAATAATTGTAAATTGTTATACTATACCAGTTCTAACATACGGTACATAACACATATAGTATTGTACTATTGGTTTGCTATTTATTGATTTAATAGCTTAAAATAAACAATAATTTATGTTAATCCATATATTAAGTTATAATTATGCATAAATAAAATTAGTAATTATTAATTACAATATACATATATGTATAAATATATTAAATCAGTGAATAAATTAATAATAAAATCATTATCAAAAATAGTGAGATTGGTTTTTTACATATTTATATCAAATAATTTAGTTAACTTAGCTCAGTAAAACTTTAATAATGAAACTATTGATTTTTGTGATTATATAATGATATTTTCTGTAATGAGTGCCAATATGTAAAAACAGGGGTTATTAATATGTTTTAATGAAATTATATTTTTATAAAACAATATTTAGTAATATAAAGATAACTTTAAGTAAATTTAAAACCAATATCTAATATTAGAAAATTAATTTTGATGTTAAATTTATTCTAAATCAAATATTGAATTTGAATATTTAAATAAAATCCCAATAAACATTGACACTTTAATTTATGATTTATAAAATTATTATTTTTTGCATTAGTTTTATCAGTTTATTAGTTAAATATTGGAATTAGTGCCAAAATTTTAATATAATTACTAACTTTTGATAATCAATTTCCTTTGATTAAATATCGGCATTACATTAACTAACAAAAAAATATTACTAAACCAATGCATTTGTCACTAAAATCTATAGCTTGTGAAAAAACGTTTCAATTATGTCTTTGTCATTGATGTCAAGTATTTAATATATTCACAAAATTGTTATAAACGCCGTAAAAAATAATTGATTTTATAGTTAAAATTTTTCAGATTTAAAAAAATATTTCTGATTTTACTAATAAGATAATAATACTGTATGTAAAATATTATTAGAATTCATAAATACTGTATTAATTAAACATTTTAACTAATTTACATTTAGCTATATTTAAGATACAATACATAATATAAAGTAAATAATACTTTAATATTAATACTTTTTAATGTTGAAGATTTCAAAAGTGAGCTGTAGTTTATTTTGGGGTCTCATTCAAAATATCCAAACTCATAAAATCCAAATTAAAATATCCAAACTTATAATAAAATTCTAAAATAATAATATCCAAAAACATTTGACTCAACTCATTTTATATAATCTAAATAAAAATATCCAAAATAATTTATTTTAAATAAATATTTATAATTACTTACTAAAAATTATTGTTATAATAATAAAAAAATAATATAAATTATTTTGATTTATATTAAATAATTTTGGATATTTTGAATTAGATATTTTCATTTGTATTTTATGACTTTGGATGCGATCGTTTATTTCGTGATATCAAATATTCATTATTATTATATGTTTTAAAATAGTTAGTATTAATTTTAGAAATAAACTAGTCTATTTTTTAAAATTAATTTTTACTCAACTTTATAGATAATAAGATCATCACTTTACTCATCAACATCTAATTCAGATCATATTTGAGATCAGATTATTCTATAGTGTATTATAAAGTTATTATATTATAGTATATTTAAATATTTTTTATAAAAACAAATTAACAATACTTATGAGACTATATATTATATTATTTTTATTTTTTAAAATTTTTAATTAAACATTTAATATCCATAATTCAAACAATAAAATGAATCTATCATATTTCAATAATTATAAATTAAACTGTATAAAATTAAATATAAAACATTATTATAAATTGAAATTGATCGTTAAATTTGTATAGCTTTTATAAATAATGTATCTCTTATTAAAAAAAAATAATTAATTAAAATGTTATAATTATAATTTATAAATAAAATACGATTAATATATTTTTAATTAAGCGGAACATTAGTAATATTGCAGAAGTAATTATTCTATAAATACTAATAATTTGTACTTTAGTTTTACCAAATTTATCAATAAATGGATTATTTAAGTAAAGTCCTACTTCTGAGATCTAACTGTTAATTATAAATTTGGTCAATAAATCTGTGACCAACTAAAGCACAAATTATGACTTTATATAATAATTACTTTTGAAATACACAACAAAAAATCTCAAACAAATAAAATGTGAGCAAAAATTGGCACAAAAATGGATAATTAGTGAAAAATTCTGAGCAGAGTTTTTGGTAAAGACTAGAAGATGCAACAGAATATTAACACATGTTTAGCACCTGTAGGTACAGATATATTGGTATTATTTGTTAAAAAGTCTGGAATGGTATAGAATAAGTGTTTCAATGACATCGCTTTCATTTTGCCAACAATTCACTTGGAATAGCATTGGAATGTTTGGTGTGTGAAGTAATGTCTGACCAAATATAAGCCCCAAATTCTTAGCCGACATTAAATTCTTGGACTCATAAGTCGTAACCCTATATTAGTTATAAACATATTAAATATAATTTATAGTAAATCAAACAATTATATTAAATTAATTATTACTTATAAAGATGTATAATAAAAAATCTGAGTGTTTGGTAGTTAGCGGGCGGTAATCCATTAACAGACTCTTTCATAGCATTCAATCGCTGCTCCAAATTAGGTTTATCTGTAAAATTTGTTAATAATTTAATGTTAGGTTTATTTAAATTATATGAATTTAAATCTATTGAAAGCTTACTTATTGCTGCTATAAACCTGGGATAGGCGTCAAATGTAATCAATGGGATGGGAAGTGAGCGAAAATATAATTTTAAAACACCAGTTATAACGTGAATGTCTTCAAAGCATGAAAAGTAAAGTTCTGTTTGTTCCCAATCTGTTTCAAACCGACATTTTAATATTTCTATCTCATCAGCCGATCCCGAAACACGGTATAAACCCTCATTATTTAATCCTTTAAATATATAAATGTAAATTCACAAACAAATAGTATAAACTATCAAAATTTATTTTAATTTAACAATTATTTAATAGTTAAATTTAGTTTATATTAAATCAATGTTTTATATATACAGTATATATATATATATACCTCTCTTTTCAATTTCTTTAATACACAGATCGACTACAAAAGGGCGCACATTATTGCTTGCCTTAACAAATGCGGTTAAATCGACACCAAATATACGACGAATATGTCTTAAGTCTGGACTGCAATCATTCGGTACTTTCTCTGAACATTTGCGATGTGAACCAAATCTATGATTATTAATACAATTATCGGTTAATTATTTTGAACACAAGACAATCATCTAATTACCCGCAATCTTCACATTTGACTCCCTGTCCAATAACTCCCCAAATAAAGTTGCCACAGAAGTCACACCAAGGTGATCCCATAAAATTATGAGTCTTAAAGTTATGTTTTTTCTCGAACTGTTGGACATCAATGCCGTCATCCATAAAGTTGTCGTCAAAGTCTTTGTCCTCATAGTTAGAAAGCCTTTTAATTTGCATCAAATTCGATGATTTGTTATTATGGATAACACTTCTGTGTTTACTTTTGTTAATGACTTTCTTGTTTTTATATAATGTCATATAAGGTGATTCTTCATATTTACAAGAATTGCTTAAATTTGCAATATATTCGGATGCATGTAATTCAAGATATAGTGTGATAAGTCCGTCGGCCACTAAATCGTGAATTGTATCAAATTTCTTGTCGCCAACAAAGTGCTGTCCGTCATAAAAGAGTCGGTAATTTTTGGTCGCATTATTAAATCTTAAGCTGAGTGTCATTTGACCCCTATTTCTGAGACTCTCGCGAATCAAATAGCGGCCATCAGTTCCCTCTTCACTTAACATATGTTCGGCCTCTTCTCGCGACAAAATGCCGTGAAATCTAATTATAGATTATTTTAATAATAAAAATGTCATCAAATATGACATCAATGGTCATACTCTCTGCCATAATGTCTGGGTCTGTGAGCAACCTCTCGGTGACAAAGAACTCGTTTAGGTGTCGGTGCTTTCTGTTGTAAATCATAAACTGTGTACCAAATCATTGGATTAATTAAAAAAGATAATTATATTATCAATTAAATGGTCAAAACATACGGTGATGTTTCCATATATTAATGTCAACCAAATGTAATGTATTGTTGTCTGCCTTTTCATTCACTTGATATCTGATTTCTTGTTTATAATAATTAGGTTTAGGTTTCTCCAAACCTGTCTTCGTTGCCATCACTCATGAGGTGTCAATTGATGGTAAGTCAGTGATAATTAAATCACATTTAAGTAGTAATTGTCATCAATGTTGTGGTCAATTGTGTTGTACGCATGCGTTATAAGTGTTACCACATATTAACGCAAACTCTACAGTAATATTCAATCTATAAATTCATATTAATAGCAATTCAATCAATTTAAACATTAAAGTCACTAATATTGTAATTATAATTTAATTTATCATTTAATTTATTATTTTATAAAATATATTGTTTATAAATATTAATCAAATACTCTATCAATACTTATTAATAAAACTTTTAATTAAAAAATTGAATTACTTCGGTATAAATGGTTTGACAAATAAATAGTTAAAACTATTTTTAAAAACTAATAATTAGTACTTTATTAACAAGTATTGAAAAAATGCTCAAAACTTTAATTAATAATACAATATAATTAATACATTAATGAGTAGAGACATCAAAATATGTAAACCACATATTTGTTTCGGTTAAAGATATTAATCGGGGAATCGATATCCATGCGAATCATATAATAAGGATCCGTTTAACAATTTTTTGAAACACATACAGTATTTTCACATATTTTGAAAATAAACACATATATCCACATATTACTACATTTTTCTATAAAAATTGTACTTTTTTACAAAAATATATATTTTTATACATAATTATTAAATTAGCAAATGTTTGCAAAAAAATGTTTAAGAACAACGATTTGATATTAATTCAAACATCAATATTATTAAATTAATAATATATACTATATTAAGGTTATTTTAAGACAAACAATGTCTCAAAATTTATTATTAGTCCAAATTTGGTTCAATTATAATTGAATTTTTTTAAAATAAGCACATATTTTCACATATTTTGATCATTTTAAGCACATATTTTATTAAATATTTTAGAAATATCGACCACATATTTTGATGTCTCTACTAATGTGTTTAAATTTCACTCCAATTTAACTTACTTAACACATTCAAAGCTAATCTGAAAAATGAAATATAATAATATTGAAAGAGAAGTTCACAATACTTAATACAGATATCAATGAGAATTATTAAATACTATATAAGTTTCATTTGTTTTATACAAAATTTAATTATTAAGAAATTACAATTTTTTTCTGATTTACTGAACCTTTATCTTAAAAATATATAATTTAATAATTAATTTTATTATTTTATTTTTAAATTAGATTACTTAGATTTATCAATCAATTTGTGATTAATATATATATTATAAGAAAATACTATATCTGTAAACTAATTCTGAATAAATTATATAATCTTTTTATATATTATAGTATAAATAGAACTTAATTTTTAAACCATTAAACTTAAAAATAAGTATACAAAAATTTGAGATGGATCAATTTTATTTTTATATTTGGCTAACTTTAATTTTGACAAAAAAAGTATGGGAAAATCTGAATGAGGGGGTAAATGCTCGAAACTCCCCCATTGTTTAACTCTGATACAAATACCTGTATATCTTTAAGAAGAAGTTAGAATTAATACAGAATAATATCTAAAACATTGTATAATGTTGTTTACTTTGGACAGTATCTACAATATGTGATACTTTCTAATATTAAAATCATTGATTATAGCATTGACTTTGATGTAAAATGTGGTGACAAATGCATCAATGATTATTGAGAACATAATTATGAATGTATTGTAACAACTATTTGGTTGTTGAGCTCATTATAGTATTTGTTTGGATCAGTGAATTCATTCAATGTTTTGCTATAATAACCAAAAGGATATAATATATTCTATACATTAAATTGCTATATATTCTCATATCATGTAAAGTCAAAGCCATAACTTTTGTTAGGAATCAATGCCATAAAATATAGAATCTATGTTATATTATTAAGTATAGATATAACGGAAACTATATTTATTCACAGACAGTAATGTATATATACAGCAAATAACCACTAATAGTGTATATAATATTTTATATGCTGTATATTATAAATAAATTTATGATTAAAATAATTTAAATAATTTTATTTATGTTAAAAATTATATAAATTTATATAAATACGATAAAACACATGAAAATGACAATAAATTGTTGTTTAACACACAACACATCAACCAAATGACAAAATTTTCAATGCTTTTGGTTAATATTCAATGGTTCACTCTCTTTAACTGCTAATGTTTTGCTTCAAATATATTTAATTGAAATTATTTTTCGTAGTATATATTGAAAAATTATAAATACTTTTTACTATTTTATTGAAATCAGAAATTCATGATCTTTACAGCAGTTTTTAATATTTTATATAACTATTAATAAACAGTCAAATTATGGGCCGGTTTAATGAACTTCCATATGAATGACGTATAGATTGTTTGGTCATTATCTATAAAAATATTGTATTGTCGTCGATGTAATCATTTTTAAGATATATCCGGTGACTATCATTGACTGTATATCTATTTTGTACAAACAATTGTGTGTTATTTATGTTGATTTATTTATATTTAATTTTTTGTTTGTTTCTACATATCATATATTTACCGGTATATATAATACCTGTATTTATCAAACCGTAATGTCTTTGTGGAGTAAAGTTTGTAAAATCATTTTATCGACTAAAGAAAAGATTAAAGAAAGTGATGAAAATCATATATCAAACAATGTTTCCATCAGTGAAGATATCAATACTGAGATTAGTTGTATTAATGGTAACCAACAAGACATCACTCAGAGTGGTAATCAATTGACGGCTAGACATTCAATATCACGTAAAATGTCAGTTTCGCGCTCCGGAAGATGTAAACAAAAAGTTAAACGAAAATCCGTTTTGTTTGATATACCAGAGTTGGTGTCAAATAAAATAAACGATTCAATACCACAAACTAATTGTAAAGATATTAATTGGGATATCAAACATTCAAATGAAACTGACAATCAATTAAAAGTTTGTGATGTTTTTTGTGCTTAATTTATAAAATTATATTTATATATATTAAATATTATAAATTTATTTATTATTTTCTGTAATCTAATTGTGATTACTTTACATGTAATCTAAAAATTTTTAATAGTCAAATATAATATAATTATCAAAATAACCTAATAATTAAATTAAAAATTGATTGAAATTATAATTAACGTTAGAATTGTTATAAAGAATAAATTTGATATTAATTTTAATAAAAAAATCTTAATATATTTATATGAATGCAATTAAACAATTTTAAATCTTGTTTAATAAGTTTATTTAATACTTTTTATAATATTATTTAATTTTAAAGTACATTAATTCTCTGAATGTATAGTTGTTATACAGAAAATATTTTTAAGGTTTTCAACTCTAAACTTTAACTTTAGTATTTAAAATGGCTTTAAATCAATTTAAACATTGAAAAATGTTTTAAATATCCTGTAAATTGAATTTGATTTAAATAAAATTTATGTTGTTATCAAATTAATGGAAATATATATTATGTTTTTGGGATAATATTAAATATATTTGTTGGTAATTTATTTGGCTTCTTCAGGGAATGGACCGGCCATAACGTTCCTGATAAATGCTATTTAAAGTAATATAATTATTAAAATTTAGAAATAATTAATTGCTTATAAAATAAACAAACCCTCGTATTTAATAAAGCCGTCTTCATCTTCCTGTCCGGCACAGGCTTTCATGATGTCTTCAACTTCGGGATCATTTAACTTCTCACCTAATATTGTCATTAAAATATAACAATCATTTTATGATCCATTGTTTTATGATTGATCCTCATTTGCTTAAAATTAAAAATTTAATTTTAAGCAAATGTTGATCAATCATAAAATCTAAACCAATAATTAGCATTAACTAATTTAATATTATTAAGTAATTATGTAAAGCATATACATAAGCATATACTGTATATATAATAAATATTTTATAATTTTGTCATTTTCTGTATATTTATGATTTATTAATACTGTATTAAGTGTTGTATAATAAAATAATAAAAAAGAAATGAATTGAATTGAATTGATGAGCAAAATATGACTGACCTAATGATAACAATACATGTGCCAACTCCCCGGCCAACATCGTACCGTTCTCTAACTTATCGTATACTTTCAATCCCTCCATAAAATCCTCAAAAGCTCCGACTTCTTTCTCTTTCTTTATCTGACTATAGATTGGAAGAAATTCTTCGAAACTCATCGTTTTTTCTCCTTTTAATAATAATAATAATAATAATATAAAATATATGTAAAATAATCAATTGATAAATACTAAACCTTTTTTTTTGGTTCCGCCACCCTTTTCAATCATGGCCTGAGTTGGTCTCAGATCCAGTGATCTCAACAAATCACCCAAATTTACATAATCTACTTTAGATTCTCCTTCGAAGTCATAAATATCAAAGTGTAATCTGGCCTCTGGTTATAAATAAATATTTGTTAATTTATTAATAAAACTAAAATATTTGTTTTAATTTTTATATAAATATGCAATATTTAAGTTAATTTTTTATTATCTAAAATATTTTTATGATTATTAAAATTGTCAATTATTTTATAAAATAATTATAAATAAAATGTTTTTGTTATTATTAAAAGTGGTGCACAAGTACTGTAAGTGTTATTTAATATATCGTACGGTATGTCTCTTCCAAATTAGGATGGGATACCAGTGCGAGAGGCAGTCAACTATAAATAGCATTACTTTCTAACGATGCTATCATTTCTCTATAATTTTAATGCTTGAGTCAAAATAAGGAGATTTTGTCATAACTTAAGATATTTAAACAAATGTTTACAATAAAACATTGTTTGACACACTTTTACTCTTAATTACTCTAAATTAATCATTAAATTAAAACATAGTATTTATATGTTTTAAAAATTTATGAATATTATTGTTAGGCAAAACATTACAATATACAGATAATATGTATAAAATTAAACAAATAAATGATAAAATTAAAAAATACATATAACTATAGTATGACTTACTTTCAACTTCCGGTGGTTTCAAGTCTGCCTGTATTTCAATAAAAAAATAGTTTAATATGAAATCATTGATTTATTAATAATTAAATAATTAAATAAATTATACCATTTTATAGTTTTAATGAATAGATACTAAAGACAAATACACTAAAATAATGGATGAAAACAATTCAGACTTTGAGATCTCTGAAACCAACTATCGTTTTGAGAACTTATGAACAGAAAGAATGGATTGAATTGACAATTCTTGGAGTAATTCTTTGGTCTAAAATAGATTCAACACTTAAGACATGCGCTTCTATTGTATGGATAGAAAAGCAAAGTTTCACTCATTAATGACACTATTTCTAGATTTCAATCATTTGTCTCATAAAGAGTTATACAATATATGTTTTGAGTGGCATTTTTGGCAATTGAATAGCTCTTAAAATTTAGTTTTAAATTTAATACAAAAATAGTGTATTCAAGTTTTACAAACATAAATACAATAAAATTATTTGCAACATAAACTTTAAATACATTCTATGTTTTATTAAATATTTTATTAGGATTTTCTCTTATACAATATGTTAAACAATTTTTAGTGATAAGTCATTTTAAACTAAAAATATTAAATTACATAATAGTATTCAATAATTTATATTATTATATTATAAATTTATGCACTATTATAATAGTATAATAGTATATAATTTTTATTAAAATTAAAGAATAATAATAAGTTATATACAGTATTGTACAAATAATAAATAATACATGTATCAATATATTCATTGTTAATCATTAAAATGATAAACGTTAAAATATATGTGAAATTATATAGTATTTAATGTATTGATTATATTATAATATTTAGAATATTCTGTATTTAAAATTTTTTATTAATTTTTTGAAATAACTTACAAATATTAGAAATTTTAGAGAAATTGTATTTTTTATCGAAAATTATTTCAATTATAATTTATTGTACATTTGATTGAAGCGCTTAAAACATTTTGATTAGTTTTCTTGATATCACGTGATAAGCATGTGATTCAAAGTTTGTTTGTTTTTGTATTATAATTGTTAAATAAATTTAAGTAATAATAAAAATAAATATTTAGATAAAGACATCAATTAAATGGTCGATATCTACAATGCTATTGACAAGACATCGATGGCATTATCACATAAGCACTGGTATCAGGTTTAGCCATAAGGATTGTAACAAGAAATCCAAACACAAGATAACAAAAGAAAATAAATTCAGTTATAAATACTCGGAAACCGTTTTATTACCGAAAAGTGATTTTCCAGTCAATCACTCGCGATCTCTGGAAGTGAACAATGTATGCATTTTATGCAACAAATTTAGATTATAGACAACCAGTAGACAAATTATTTGACCCAAACTCATCCACACCCACCCAATCAACCAACCACTTCCTACCCCTCACTCACCACAAACTAACCTAATAGACAACTTAGTAATTAAGTAATAAAACTAACATTTTATATGAATAACTGCATAAAAGACAATACTTTTTTACTGGATGTCTATAAACTAGATATAAACCCATTTTACGGTCAATATATTGAATAATATAAAAAAGTAAAAAACAATAATAAATATTACTAAAGGATATATCAATGACCAACTTTGGTAAACTTGTCGAAAGGACGGCTTATCATTCAAAAGAGCGGTTTGTTTTACACGACGGTCCGCCCTATGCTAACGGATCTCTTCATTTTGGCCACGCTATCAATAAAGTAGTATTTATTTAATATTTAACTTTTTGAATGACTTTTTTTTATACCTTATGTTTTAGTTTATCAAAGATATGATTTGTCGTCGGAAACTACTGGAAGGATATGAAGTATCGTTTATACCCGGCTGGGACTGTCACGGACTACCCATTGAATTGAAAGCCATATCACAAGACATGGATATATCGGATCCAATAGAAATTCGACGAAAAGCTAAACAATTGGCTTTAGATGTAATCGATGAACACAAACGATGTTTTCAAAGCTGGAAAATAATGGCTGATTGGGATAACTCTTACTTTACATTTGATTCAAAATATATCACAAATCAATTGAAAGCATTTTCTACTTTATTAGATAATAATATTATATTTAGATGTTATTCACCGGTTTATTGGTCTCCGACCGGTTCGACAGCTTTAGCCGAAGCAGAGCTTCAATACAATGAAAAACACGTCTCGAAATCAGTTTTTGTAAAATTAAAATTAACACGACTTGCAGATTGTATTAAACAATTTAATCCTATATTTGCTATTATTTGGACAACAACTCCGTGGACTTTACCAGCAAATCAAGCCATTGCTTACTCATCTAAAATTGATTATTGTGTTATTACTATTGATGGAAAATCCGGTGAATATTTTTTGATCGCTAAAGACTTAATACATGAATTGGAAAAAGATTTAAATTCTAAGATTAATATTAAGAAAACGATTAATGGATCAGATCTTAAATGGTGTTTCTATTTAAATATCATTTCTAAAAGTAATGAAGATTTGCCATTTTTAGACAGCTCTCACGTCACCACAACTAAAGGAACCGGTTTAGTACATATCGCACCTAATCATGGTTTGGATGACTATAAACTTATTATTAAAAACAATATTCCAGTGAAAGAGTGTATTGTTGATGAAAAAGGACACTATATTTATACTTCTAATTCATTATTAGAAAATAAGTTTGTGTTGAATGAAGGAAATGATTGTATAATTGAAATGTTAGGAAATTCTTTACTTTTACAAAAAGATTTTATTCACAGTTATCCTTATGACTGGAGATTCAATGAACCGGTTATAGTTAGAGCCAGTCCTCAATGGTTTATTAATATTGATGTTATTAGAGATGATTGTATAAAAGTATTAAATAATGTAAAGTTTTATCCAGAATCCTATAAAGAATATCTTATAGATCAACTGAATATAAGACCCAATTGGTGTATATCTCGTCAACGGTCGTGGGGTGTTCCCATACCTGTATTTTATAACAAAGATGATAAAAATTTCAAGAACCCACTCATTAATCGACAAATCTTAGATCATATTATAAAAGTATTTGAAGATAAAGGATGTGATATTTGGTGGTTATCGTCAATTGATCAGTTGGTACCAAAACATTTAATTGAAAGTGAATTAAAAGTTCCAGTGAATGATTTGCGAAAAGGAAATGATATTTTTGACATTTGGTTTGATAGCGGCAACAGTTGGAACTCAGTTTTAAAGGATCCGAAAATTGCGGACATTTATTTAGAGGGTTACGATCAGTTGCGCGGGTGGTTCCAGTCTTCACTTATTTTAAGTGTTGCTCTTAGAAGTTGTTCACCGTTTAAATCAATTAAGATTCACGGCTTTGCACTCGATAGCGATGGCAAAAAAATGTCTAAATCTATTGGCAATGTTATTGATCCAAATGATATAATTGAAAAATGTAGTAAAAGTGATAATAATTGTGGAAGTGATGGCTTCAGATGGTGGACTGCCAAACATGCGTCAGATCATAAAGATGAGAGGATAGTAATGAAATCGTTTGACGAGACATTACACACTCTCAATGATATCCGACGTATTATTCGCTTTCTTATCGGTTCTCTAAATGATTTTGATGTCACCAAAGATGAAGATGTTTGCCAATTGTCTGATATGAATATATTAGACAAATATATGTTACATCTTTTACATCATTATATAAATGAAGTGAATATATGTTACAATAACTATCACTTTACGAGTTTAATCAATTCATCGCTTGAATTCATGGTCAGTCAAGTCTCACGTTTTTATTTTATGCGAATTAAGAACCGCTTGTATTGCGAACACAAAACATCTCTTCGGCGAAGAACTTGTCAAACAGTTCTTAAATATATCTATAATAACTTAGTCTTTCAATTGGCACCAATATTACCACATATTATGATTGAAGCCAATAAACATTTACCTATAAATTATCAATTTATTTGCAATAATAATGAATGGAATCAACAGAATATTGAGGAAGACATACAACTGGTGTTATCAATGACTCAAATCATTAATAAACATTTATTTGGCAAAAATATGCTTAAATACGACTGTTATATAAATAGTTCAAATGATAATTGTTTGAAAAATCTATCGGTTTGTAAAAATATTAATTTTATTTACCGCTAATTACTGTATATTCTAACTGAAAATTCATTATTTTTCTAAAGTTATATCAAACGAACAGTTATTCAATGGATTCTGATTTATGTGAAATACTCGGTGTTTCATCTGTTAGTTTAGGTAACTGTCGATTACCTCAAAAGGATGGCATGACTTTAAGCGGATGTTTAAATGGCATTAATTATGATTTATTGATAACATCTGCCAACAATTATTTGTGTGATCGTTGCAGGCGTTATACAGCCAACAAACCTAACGATGCCTGCGATTACTGTCTAAATGTTATATCAATGTCTCAATGATAAATCATATAATATTTGTTTTATTAATTAATCACATGTTTAACTTAAGGTGATTTCATTGAAATGTTTTATAAAAATTGAAATAAAGGTAGAAAAGGCATGCGTTATAATAATGATATATTTAATTTGATTTTAGCTATATTTAAGAGACCCTTATATTGATTAGACATTGCATTAATGTTTGCTTTTTTGTGTAATTTTATAAGTATTTAATACAATATTATTAGTCATATAAATGAACAGAAAATACCGATTCTAAAAAATAACTTGTCATCGCTTATCAATAAGTTATCATAAGTTTATTATAATATATGTATGATTCAATATTTTTAGTAAATTATTTCAAAAATTTAAATCAAAATTATATTTTTACAAATATTTAATACATATTGCTATAGATTGTAAATTTATAATAAAATACTTTTAAAAATTTTATTATTAATTAATTACTAAATTACTGTATAATACAGTATATACTTTATAATTGTGTGTAAGTATTGCATAACTATTGGAAGTGATTGTGTGTTCAATACGTTATGCATTGTATGTAAGCAAACGTATTATGTATTGAATGACTAAATGTATGGAAAAATGGCTTTATTTTAGTTACAATTGATTGTCAAGACTTTAATTGAATATATTTAAAGTGATTGATAACAAACATACCGTTAATTACCATTAATTAGTACTCATTAGCCTTAATATTATCAATCAGTTAGTTATGTTATGAAGTGTTGTATCAAATGATGTCCAGACGTGTTGTCGGAGTAATTGTGAGAAGTGGTCGAAAACAATCCAACAATTTTCTGGTATATAATAAATGATGACTTACTTGATATACCATTGATTGATAATTTTATAATCGATTACTAGATGTACGGCATATCAGAGCCGACTGTATATCACGCTTTGGTCGTCATATTCCTCGAGTTCTTCGCCTGGGGTTTGCTTACCACTCCTATGATAACTGTATGACAATAATGAACACTTGATTATCAATTGATATGATATGTAATAAATTGTATTATCTTTGAACAGGTGTTAAATGAGACGTTTCCGAGCCATACATTTCTTATGAATGGATTGATTGTTGGGATCAAAGTTAGTATGAATACAAGTTATGATCACAAGAGTAGTAATATGTGACCAATTGATGACAATAGGGTTTCTTATCATTCCTGTCGGCGCCATTGATCGGTGCATTATCTGACCTCTGGGGCCGTAAATTTTTTCTTTTACTCACCGTATTCTTCACGTGTTCTCCGATACCACTCATGTATTTGAATACATGGTTTGATAAATAACAATATCTTATATTAATAAATATCATAATATAATATTGATATCATTTTAGGTGGTATTTCGCGATGATATCTCTTTCAGGTGTGTTTGCCGTTACATTTTCAGTGGTGTTCGCCTATGTGGCTGACGTGACCACAGAGCACGACAGGAGTTCGGCTTATGGACTCGTTTCGGCCACATTTGCCGCCAGTCTAGTCACGTCCCCAGCATTGGGTGCATATCTGAGTGCTCTTTACGGCGACAGTCTAGTCATATTGATAGCGACATTAATAGCTGTTTTAGATGTTTTATTTATATTATTTTTCGTACCCGAATCATTGCCCGAAAAATTAAGATTAAAATCGATCTCATTGTGGGAAACGGCTGATCCATTTGTCTCACTTCGTAAAGTAGGCAAAGACAAGACAATTTTGATGCTATGTTTAGCCGTTTTTCTGTCATATTTGCCAGAAGCGGGTCAGTACTCATGTTTTTTTGTATACTTGAGACTTGTCATGGGTTTCAGTGCTGAAGATGTGGCACTTTTTATTGCTGTCGTCGGTCTACTATCAGTCATAGCCCAGGTATTAACTATTATTTAAATTATGTTTATATCTATAACTTAATATATTTGAAAAATATTTGCAATTAGACGGCAATGTTATCTATGTTTATGCGAACCTTCGGCAGTAAAAACACGATAATGTTTGGACTATTGTTAGAAATGCTTCAACTAATGTGGTATGGATTTGGCTCTCAAACTTGGATGATGTGGACGGCCGGTATTGTTGCCGCATTGGCCTCTATAAGTATTTATTATAAGTTTTTAACTTAATTTATATGATTATTATATACAATTATTTCTAATGATAGCTTATCCAAGTATAAGTGCCTATTCATCAATGGGCGCCGATGCCGATAAACAAGGCTTAGTTCAGGGACTCATTACAGGAATTAGAGGATTATGTAATGGTTTGGGTCCAGCAGTTTATGGATTTGTGTTTAATTTATTTAATGTTGATTTAACACACAATGTGCCTGTTATGGGTCAATACCCGGGTGGAGGCGAGAGGGGGGCTCTAGTGATGAACGAGCGAATGATGAATTCAAGCATTCATACTATAAATATGTCGGACAACCTCCTGATTCCGGGCCCACCCTTTGTTTTTGGAGCCTTTTTAGTGTTTCTGGCAATTCTTGTGACTGCTATAGGAATTCCAGAACTAATTCAATATCCTTCTCAACATAATTGTGAAAGTAATCAATATAACAGCTCCGGTAGGCAAAGCTCTAAGTACTTCTACACTTCAATGCAATATCAACGTAACGACAATCAATGCGTTGGGACCAATGTTATTGATAGTAAAAGTAGTCCATTAGGAAGTGCTGATGAAGATAATATCAATCATTGTACTCATTCTCTTACATCTATAGCTAGTCCTCTGAGGAAAAGTGAAAATAAGAGATATGAGATGCATAAAAGGGGACCAATTAATAGTGAATTACAGCTGCCATTAATGCAAGACTTGGATCCGTTATAAGTGAAAGTTCTGTGATCTCTGTAAAACTTGTTGTCTTATGTTTTGTATTAGTAATTTCAAATTGTTGTCATATTATGTATAATATTTTTGTTTTACCACTCATTCCTATAATAAATTTTATAATTATTGTATAAATTCTATAAATAATTTAGAAAATTAATATTTTATCGAATTTAAAATAATTAAGACATGTTTTTCATTAAACTAATTTATTTTATAATTAATAAATTTAAAATATTTAAAATTCTTGTTGAAATGTTATTTAAATTATGGCTTTTTAAAATTTATTGAAATAAGAGAAACAATAAAAAACTTCTAAATCAAAATACACTTATCTTTACATTAACTTCAAATAAATTTAGTAATATTTATTACCGGTAATCTTTTTTTTTTATTTCGTAAATTTTATATATTTATAATAATTTAAACTATATTTATAGTTTAATACTGTATATAGTACAGCATATAATTTGTACAATAATACTGTATAAAATGTGGTGATATTATTTACAAAACATTTGAAAAAATTAATAAAATGTTATTAAAGATAAATTTGATTTATTTTTATATTAAATTCTGTTTAATATAAAGTCCGTATTTATACTTCGGTACAAAAACTTAATACTAAATGTATAATCAATTTGATAACTAACTCGTAATTTCATTTACAGATCACATAATTACATATTAATATTATGATTAGTGCTGTAAAATTCACATGAATTTATTTTTAAGCTGAATATTCAAATGAAAATTCAGATAAGTTATTGAATTTATAATTTTATAGGTTTAATAAATTTGATAAAATAAATTAAATTATATACAAGTTGTACTATCTATCTTTTATGTTAAATTTAAGATAAACACAAATAATTTAGTAATTAAAACAATAGTTTTAACATTTGACAATTGAATTGTTATTAATTGTTGTTAAACTGGACTTTAATGGAAATCAGATAATAAGTTGTAGTAATACTCAGTATAAATATAATAAATTCAATTCAATAGTTAAGGTCCTTAAAAATTACTTATATTTATTTTATTAAACAACATTTTACAATTAATTTGTTTTTAAATTGAGATCAAATTTAATTAAATACATACTGTTAACAAAATTCAATACAGTATATCATATGTATATAAATTTACAGTACTGTTTGTAAGTGATTTTAAAATATTTTAAAAATTGACTCTAAAGTACAGTAAATTTACAGTACTATACACTAGTGTATAATACACTGTATACTATACAGTGGCTGACAAATAGCTATAATAGCTATTAAATAATTGACTTATTTTTGAAGTCATTCAACACAATACAGTATTTTTTAAAAATTCAGTCACTTATAAAATATCTTTAATACATAAATAGATATAAATATTTTACTGTAATTTCAATCTATAGTTAATGCTGTATTAATGTAATGAATTTAAATGAGTGTATAAAGCGATTTAACAATAATTGTTGTGAGTTTTGCCTACATTTTTATACACTATTATTGTTTATATTCAAAAGCAATAGTCAAATATTGTAATATTTATTTATAAATACTTTATTTGCTATTTTAATTAATTTTATAGTAAATATTAATATTGTTTATAAACTTGAAATATTTATTAAAAATCCTATTATTCTAATAGTAATTCTGTAGTATTTAATTAAATTAATTGTAATAAATTGGTATATATTTTATAATATATTATAAAATATAAATAAAATATAAAAATAAAATTTATAAAATATATACAAATTTACAATAATAACCGAATAAATAAATTAATTAATAAAACGTGTTATTCATGTGATTATAATTAATGTATAATTAAGTGATGAAAGCATTGATATGTTGACCAATCAATACATTGTCTGTTATTTTTTACATCAATTGCTGTAAACATTATTTAATTATTATTTGAATGGTATGTATTCATAGATTTTATTATAACATTAATTTTTAAAATATAATAAACTTATTAATTAATAATTTAAATATCAATTAAAGGCGTTATTTACGGTTCAATTGGTCTTTACATTAATTTTCTTAAGTGTCTTAAATCGTCTGTCAGTTCACTATTCAATTGGTCGATGGCTTCTCTCTAAAGGGTATTCATCCAAATAATGGCAGTAATTATGAATAAATGAATTTATCATTTTATTATTTGTTTAACAGTTTGATCCGATACTTACCCCCAACTGACGATCAATTGAGACAATTATTAGGTTTATCTAAAAGTTCGGTCAAAACAAAGAACCGAAAGGATAATAAAGAACAGCAGAAATCTAATACATTTACAGTACCACGAGATATATCACTTGAATTGGTGTCAAAACCTGTGGATCTGTTGGATGTGATTCAATTGCCATATTATGCTGAAGTCCAATGGCTTTTTGACTTCAGTGCCTATGCAGTAGTTGTCTATATATTGACTGAGTTTTACTATTTTTTAGTCCCAAATAGTAATGAATATAATTTAAGTCTCATTTGGTGTTCATTTGTTGTGGCATTCAGTTTGTATGATTTTATCATTTTGTTTATTATCTTAATTTATATAACTTATGGTACAATATATTTGATAATTTAGAAAAGTTTTGCTGTCAATCACTGGTCTTTACTTCCGAGGCGGTGATGAAGCCATTGGCGAGCGTTCGGTGACAATAGTGTCGGCCTCATTGTTCTTCTTGAGCGCAATGATTGTCTTAATAGCTGACGAAAACTTTTTAGAGTTTGGTTTAGTTCCGGCATACAAGAGCTTCAACGAGAGTGCCTTCAAGTTGTTAGAGACGCATAACATTAGCGATAGCACCGGTAGTGGTGGTGGTGCCGGTCCGACATCTTTTCTAATAATAAAGTTTTGTTTAGCCATTTGGTGCGCTTTTGTCGGCGCCTTCTTTACATTTCCCGGCTTTCGTTTGGCACGAATGCATTTCGATGCCATAAAATATGCTCAAAACGATCACTTTTCACTGTATGTCCTATAATTAAAATGTCTTCATATAATTTGATTGATTAAATCAATAATTTTATTTTAGGCTTTTATTAAATGTGAGTTTTATATCTCCGCTTTTCATTATCTTATTGTGGATTAAACCAATAGCCAGAGATTATTTGACAATCAGAAGTTGGTCCAGAGGCACAATGTATGACAATTGAATGTATTTTATTAACATAAATATAAACTATTATTTTACAATCAGAATGAGTGCCGACAGCTTTGAGACGACAAGAATTCTTATAATAGTCGTTGTAATTGCTCTCAGACTTTGTCTTATCAAACGATATCTACAGTCATATCTCAATATTGCACCACAAAAGTTGACAATTATGAAGAAAGAGAGGGGACGTATCACTAATGTTGATCTTCAGAGAATGGTTTTAATGCATTGAATATTTGTTTAAAATTAATTTTATATTAAATTATTTAATATAATTTACAGATCGCTCGTGTATTTCACTATTTGTGTGTCGTTACACTTCAATATATTTCTCCGCTATTTATTTGTCTTTTTATGGTACTAATGATGAAGACATTAGGCAACTATTCATGGAGTAGTTATTTATTGCCAATTATACAAATGGATGAAATACCAGTTAATTTAGATGAAACAACTGGTCCTCAATTGACATTAGCGTTATTAAGGAATGTTTTTAATCCCATTGTATTGCGAGGACTCATGGGTTTTATGGTTTGGTGGCTGTGCTCCGTATGGTTTGTCACCTCATCTATAGGTTTATTATACCACTCATATTTCTTGTGATATTTACAGTAAAAATAGATTTGTTATATTTAGAGAAATCAGTAGTAAAATTGAAACCCAATTAATCATATTTATACATTTTATACAGTATTTTAGAATCATTTAGTTTAGTTAATATAATTTATTTAAACTGTTTATTATAAATATTAGTAATAAAATGGAAATAATATAAAACCCAAAATTAATCGATTTATTAATGACTTTCGCCTTTCTTTCCGGCGATTCTCTTGAAGTCATTCATATTAGTGGCCGAAACGGGAGATCCGATGATAGACAGGTAATCGATGCGAGAAATTTCAGTATTTGATTGGTTATTCTCGACAAATATCTGAAAAATGAATCAAATTTAATAATAAATAATATACCGGTAAGTGTTAAATACAAACCAATAAGTTCTGGACGTTTTGAAACTTAACGTAACGTAAAGATATAGGTATTCCTTTAGTCAGGTCTTGTTCATTGAATTCCAGTTTCTGAATCGATTCCATTGAATTACATTCATCGAAGTCCAGAGTTTTGTGAGTATTTATAAATAGTTTCATATTTTTAGGTCCGTTCTCTTTGGGCGCTAATATCTTCAATGAATGCAGTTTTAATGGTTGATTAAATGCCAGATTTATTATCAGTTGTTCATCACAATCGGACTCTAAGTATGTATTAGAACCACTGGTTAGACATCCAGACAATGGGTGTTCATCCGATTCATTGAGACATTCAGAGCCAGTCTTATTAATGAATGTATTGAGTTCTATATGACCGGCAACTCCGCTATCAGACTGTCCACTGCCTTCTCCATCAGTCAAACCAACTAATTCTCTAACTTTATTCTCCAAAGACGTCGGATCTGCGCCTCTGATTCGGGTCAACACAACTCGGTTTTTAATAAAAACAAAGGTCGGCATCGCTTCCACACTATAGCTATGGGCAGTCTCTGAATATGATTAAGAAATACAACATCGATGGTCAATACAATTGTCTCATTTATGGTCGTTGTTTTAGACGTGTGTCACATACCGGGGCACTGCTCGACATCCACTTTAAGGAACACACCATTCGAGTAGGTATTACTCAATCTCTCGAATACCGGTGCAATTCGCTGACACGGACCACACCTTTCACCACAATTACAGACAAAACAACGGATCAGTTAACAATCATTTGTTATATTATATCAATTAATTGATTCAATTGAATACATGACATACCAACTGGCGGTGAAATCAATGACCAAAACATGATTTGCCGAACTCGAGGCCAATTCTTGTTGGAAGTGATCGTCATCTCTGACCACAATTACTGTCATATCTTCACTGTTATTATGTTTAAGAAATGATAGAAAAAATTGTCACTTAATTTGATACCAAAAATGCTAACTAATTGCCGACAAATCATAAAAACAATAAATTACATAACAGTTAATGACTTATACTTTATATACATTTTGTATGTAATTATCAATAAAAGGGGTCTATATGTGAGTCATTGTATTTGTGAACATAATATTGTATATAAAATATGTTAAATATTAATAAAAACATGACTTCAATATAATAGAGTCTATTAAATCTATTAAATAGACGCTTAGATTTCTCTATAAATGTATAATATATTTGTTTTAGCGCCTGAAAGATGACTTTTTTCTATAACTATCACAATCTTTGGCAGTAATACTGTATAAAAATCTATACTACTATATAATATATACTATATATTATACTATATAATTCTATAATGTACTGTATATAATTTGTTCAATGTTTGTGCAAATTTGTGTGACGCAAACAATTACTTTTGATGTGTCGCGCGATTATTAATAATTTTAATTTATTAAATAAAAAATAAATAAAATATACTTTTTATAATACACTGTATATTATATATAGCGCGTGAAAGCATTGTTTAGTAAAGAGATAGATTGAGAGAGAGAGAGAGAGAGAGAGAGAGAGAGAGAGAGAGAGAGAGAGAGAGAGAGAGAGAGTATTGTTGCACGTGTTAGCTATTGATACACGTTTTATTACTTGGATCTAACTAGTATCCAAACAAATTAATACTGTATTAATAATTCAAGTTTTTTTTATTTTGTCAAAAATCATTGATAAGATTTTTAAATATACAGATATATTATAAGTTACAGTTAATAAATGTTTTATTACAAATATTTTTTATTTACATATTTACATATTACTTATATATATATTTATAATGTATGTTTTATCTATTTTTAAAAATGAAGAGAGAGAGAAAGAAAGAGAGAGAGAGAGAGAGAGAGAGAGAGAGAGAGAGAGAGAGAGTGAGAGAGAGTGAGAGAGAGTGAGTGAGAGAGAGAGAAAGAAAGAGAAAAAAGAGAGAGAATATTGACATCAATTTGTTAAAGTGTTTAGACATTAAGTTAATTGAATTGTTGTAAAACATGTGCATTATATACATACTGTATATACAATAGTTTTAATGTTTGGGACAATGACTTACCTGTAATAGACTGACTCAAAGTTTAAGTAACTTTTACAGACAAACATTGCTTTAAATAATTAGTGATATACGTGTCCAACATTGATATACAATAGTACCGGTGCTTATTGATAGTCAACACTCTTATAAGTTAATCAATTTTGTCTTCTGATTGCAACTTTAAAAAGCACTGTTATTATGGCTTAATTATTAGGTATTATTATTTTATTTCATATGTTATTTTTTATAGTATATGATATTTATATATTATAACTTATAAATTTATAAGTTATTATAACCGTTTGTTAATAAAACAGACAAAAAGTATATTCTGAATTAAAAAAATACAAAATAACTAAATTTCAATTTCCTAGTGATTATATTTTTTAAGACATAATATTTATTTTTAAAATTTATATTCAATTTGTTATTTAAGACATAAATTTTTTTTATAAAAGAATTAGAATTTTGAACTAAATTTAAATTATAATTTCAATACAAAGTGATGTCTTATCATATGATACACTCTAACGTCACATATAATACAGTATAATAAGACTCAGTTTTTTCTGTTAAATTAAAAAAATAATAATAATAATAACCAAACAATATGTCCAAACAATCGAAAATTTGTTTTATCTTTTGTTATGAGAATTACATCAAAATCATACTTATAATATCATTAAGTTATAAAAGATCATTATAAGTGTTTTTTTGCGAAATAAATAAATTACAAAACACAAATAGAGTAGTATATCAAATATTTTGAAGCCCTTATGTAAATTGAAAAGTTTTAACATGGGTTAGTTTACATTAAATTGATTTAGATTTAAGTATAACATTATATTGCATTATAATATAAAAATTTACTTTTATTTATTTAAAGTAATTATAATATTAATACGTTATTTAAAATGTTAAATACAGTTTAATTTAAGATATTTAATGTTTTATCAGTTTTTATAACATAAATATAACTGTTTTGGTCTGTTGTCTGTATATTCAATATAAAAATAATATTATTAATTTAATAAAATACAATATTTTATTTTAATTATAATTTCAATTGTGGGGGTATTTTATTTAGTATTTGAAGAGTGATTTTAAATATTTTATGAAAAATAAGTATCATATGAATTATATGACCTTATAATTGCTATTTTTATACATTATTTAATATTACTTTGCATAAAACTACATTGCAAAATAGTTAAAGTAATATCATTGATTAAATTTTGAAAAATTTAATGTTATTAATGGCTATTATTTGTCTTATAATTTAATTAAAAATATCCTTTGTACTTTTTGTATAATTAAACAATTACTTGTTCCCAATTTTGACTCAACCATTATAATAACAAAAACTGTTTTAACTTTTATAAATTTACATAATTAATTATTACATATATTTTATTTTTATTTAAAATAATAATAATACAGCAAAAAAACGTGCCAATAAAATAATATAGAAATTCAATTATTTGATTATAGGAAAGGTGTGATAATTGGTGATCCACTGAATTACAGCATATTTTATATGTTAAATATGTTTGCCTTCAGATACCCAATCATAGGCAATGCCTTATAATTGTTTGGGTGTTAAAAAAAGTTAGCCTTAAATGAATTACTAGTTTTACTATAAAATTTAGTTCATTCATAGCGTGCAAAACATCGCTAAATATATTTAAGGCTTTTTCATGGATTAACCAAAAAAGCAATTTTAGAAAAACGCAAAATACTTGATGTGATAAATGTGTGATAAATATGATAACTGTTTATATATTGAACTTTAATTTATACATTTTTTCCTCAACTGTGTTATAAACTTTGAAAATGTTGGATAAAATTATTATTTGTTTAATATTTTGTGTAAATTATATAATAAACCAATCACTAAATCCACAAATCCTAACATTAAATGCAGGTAAGCATTAAAAAATTTATAAAAAATGATTAATTGTCTCATAAAATTTGTAACTTTATTTGTAATTTGACAAAATATAATGTATAAAAAAAGAGGAAATTGATTTGATTGATGGCAACATTACCGCACGCGCACCATATCCAGAGCTAAACATCAAAATTAGACGAAACGGACAGTTTGTCGATACGGCACTTAATGTACAACCGGGAACTCCTCTGGAAATTATTATATATTTAGATGAAGAGTCTCGTCATGTTTACGGACTTTTGGTCAGTTTCCTTAAGGTTACGGCAATTACACCTAATAATGTCACTCAGGAAGAAGTTATTATACTTAATGGGTTAGACAGCAATGATTTGATAGCATTGATAGCAAAATGATATTGTATTAAATTCTCGTTTTTGTCAATCACTTTAGCTGTTCAATAGATCCATATATTTTTGGTAATTTTGAGACTCTTGATGGCGGAGATTCAGTTTCGGCTAAATTCAGAGCATTTAAATTTCCTGAATCTAATTATGTCAAGTTTGTCGGTACTGTTAATGTTTGCCTTAATCAATGCAAAGCTGTAAGTGCTTTAAGTACAGTATTAAGCTTTATATGAATATTTAAGAATAGAAATGTTAACCTTAGATAATATAATTAATTAATATTATATTTAATTATAATAAACAATATAAATATAGGTTACGTGTGGTAACGGTCAGTGGGGTTTAGGTAGAAGACGTCGATCAGTCGGTTCGGATCCCAATAAAGTAATGGAAGCAGAATTCTCTACAATTCTTACCGTTAAATCCTCGCCATATAATTGGCAATTCATTAACATTAAGAAAAACACGATGTTTTCAAATACTTGATTTTAATTAAATTTTTAATTAACTAAATAATGAAACTATATATTAAAATGTTTTATTCATATTTTTAAATATATTTCTATTACCTTAAAGGATTAAAACTAAATATTTAACAAATATAGTAATTATCAAAAAAATTCTAAAAATAATTTATTATTCATTTAAATAAATTTTCATTGATTTATAACCAACAATTACAAAATGTATTTTAATGCTTAAAACTATATATTTAATCAATATTATAATATACTGAAAAAATTGTATATTCATTTCATATTTAATTATAATAAAATTTTTATAAACTTTATTATGTACTTTAATATTTAGTACATTTATAATATGTATGAATAATATTAAAAATATTGTAATTTTATTTTTAGAAATAAACCTAAAGAATCTACTAATTTATTAAATTTTTTGAAAAATAATTAAAATTTATGTAAATTATAACATAAATCTTATGAATATTGTTTAATAAATACTATATTGAAATAATATTTTATAATCAAATTTAAATAACTTTATTTTAATTCATAGATAATTTGGAAAATAGATTTACAGAAAAAACAAACATCTTAAAAATTATTTATATTTTTTATCAAATAAATTTTTTAACAATTAATGAATACATAGTAATAGCAATAAGATTTAATAAATGTAATAAATAATAATAATAATTGATAATAATTAATAATAATTAATAATAATTAATAATAATTAATAATAATTAATAATAATTAATAATAATTAATAATAATTAATAATAATTAATAATAATTAATAATAATTAATAATAATTAATAATAATTAATAATAATTAATAATAATTAATAATTAATGACAAATTTCTTAGGCATCAATATTAGTGATTTCAATGAAATTTCAATAAATTTAAAAGTAAAATATAATGAGTAATAACAACAATAATGTAATATTTTACTTTTTTACTTTACAATAATTATGATTGAAATAATAAGTGAAATTTAAATTAAAAATACATAAATAATTGAATAATATATATAAAATATATATATATATATCGTTGAGCACAACAAAGTGGTCAAGAAGTGGTTCAAAGAAATGTACTAAAAAAATCTTAATAAGAATATTCTTAGACAAAATCAGAATCATTTCAATTACAATACACGAGTAATGTTAATAAATGTCATAATTTTAATGATAATATAAAAAATTTTTATACGTATATATATATATTATAAATAATAGTTAGTTTTGTGAGTATCCCTATTTAATACAATATGTTTTCACAACTAAAGTAATCATTTTTAAAAGCATTTTATTTATATATTTAGTAATTATTAAAACTAAATATCTAAAAACTCTTAAATGATTAAAGTAAATGTTGACTAATTTAATGTAATGTATTTATGTAAATATTGTATATTTTAATTTTTAATTAATTTTTATCTTAGAAAACATCAGTAAATGAAATTAAAGGGATACTAAAAACTACAATTATTATAATAATGGACTCAAAGCTAAAAAATACCGGTAATTAATTTTATCAATAAATTTGTATATTTTTTATTGAGATTACTTTAAAGTTAAACAAATATAAATATAACTCTTCTCTTATTTCAAATCACTTTCATTATTACAATATCTTTCACATTCATATAAACTCTTAATTTTTATAAAAATCTAATCATTTATATTAATAAAAGTTATTTATATTTATATATATATATATATTTATTATATTTCCATATGTATGTAATTTTAAAATAATTTATTATAAAGGTAGAGAGTAAATTCATTCAGAGCATTTAATTATATAATGAAAATAAATTTAAAAATTATTTCAAAACGTAACAAACGATAAGTTATCGTAATAAAAGTTATGTCTAAATATATATCATTTACCCAAAATTCGGTGTTTATAGTATAACAATAACTTATTTACGATAATAAAAACTGTTAATACAATATGAGATGACTATTGAAATAAATCATTAAAAATCAAACGTGCATTATATAAGATAATAAACTCATATTATAAAAAATATCAACAATAAGTGCCGGTATGTATCAAATGCAATCAATATTAAAGTAATAATATAAGAGTTATAGCAACAATTTTGGGTAAATTCATGTAAATATGATTAAAATCAAAACAATAATCATAATTATAAATAAATCGTCAACATGTAAATTAAATTTAAATTATCAATAATTTCATCATTAAACAGTATAAGTGGTTAAAAGCTGCTGAAAATTAAGCATAAAAATAGATCTGATTATTATGACATTGAACTGCACGGAATACGTGGTGAACCCATTTGGGTGAGCACGCGGTCCAACCATTGTAACGGACCGTTTAAATGTAGTTCAATCCAACAGGGAGTGGATGTAACCGTTTGGCGCCTATATTCGGCTCCCCAACCCTTAACAAAGCTCATTCTTATTGTACACATTCGGGTCAATTGATAGACCGCTTCGAAGCCCTGACTCACCGATTGTGCCAACAGTGCAGCAAACTCTTGATTGTTAAATATTTTAAGATTGCAGCCTAAGAACAGATAATCAATAATAATAATAATAATAATAATAATATATTTTATAATTAGTTATTATTGTCAAACCTGGAGGTATTTTGCAGACCGTTGCCGGATGCCATCCATATCTTTGGTTACAATTAGGGCTCTGAACAAAAATACTGCTATCACTTAAACATTCAGCAAACACTTCACCTCCAATGTAATAAAGTCTAACTCCTCGACCTAAATATATATTAATCAAACAATATGTTAATTCTTAATATTTTTTAAATATTTTTAATACCGATATGTCTTCGCGTTTGTTCAACGATTGCGTTTCTGTTGACATTAGAGAGTAAACCCAAACAAAAACGTTCAGAACTCGAGGGATCAGTAAATCCATCGACAGTGAGTGAGGGTTGGGAGGCGTGAAATATTTCACCGACGCGTGTATTTAATTCATAATATGATATTGAGCACCAAAATGCCGGTTCTGTATATGTCACCGGTTGAACATCCAATGGTGGCGATGGTGAGGGTATAATTGATGTGTCTATACGTCAAACATTAACCATAATTATATAATTGCTATTACAATATATTCAATCAATACCCATAGTGTCAGTGCCATTGAGATCCTGATTGTCACCGTCTTCGCTCATATACCCGGGCGGTGGGGTCTCTATACAAATGTTATAAATAAATATTTCAATTAACAATTTTTTATAATAAAATAATAATGTTAAAATTCGTATTTAAATAATTTATACTTATTTTTAAAGACTATTATATTGTTTTATTAATTTATTGTCTATTATTGTAGTTGTTTGCTATCATATGTCGAGAACAACACATATTATGCAATATATGTTCAATATTTATATTTGATTCCTATAATTAACACCTCATTAATAATTATTAATTAAAATCTTTTAATTAAAAACCAATATTTAATAATATATTTTATAAATATAGTATACTTAAAGGTAATAACTTAATAATATCTCCGTAGATATGTAGTAAAAAACAATTTGTTTCAATTTTGATTATTATATATCTGATCAACAATACATTTACGAAAAATTTAAATCCAATATCAATATTAAAAAATACATAATTTTGTAATTAGTTTTTTATGAACATATTTTTAAAATTGTTAAAAAGTCTATAACTTGTATATTTTAGCTACTTTTTTGTTAGATATACTTAGAGTTCGGGCAAATCCCTTCCCTCGTTTTATTTTCCAAAAGTTCCCAATGTTCCCTGCTCCTTGGGAATTCCCAGGAATCTATATCCTTGTACTACCACTTATTGAACTCTAAACAACAAATTTTATTATAAAATTTGAATAACAAATGTTGTATTAAACTGTATTTTGAGTTTTATGTTTAAATAGTATCACTAAATTCATTGAAATTAAATATATTTTAAATATTCTAAAAAAATTTATGCAAAAAAAGTTTTGGTATTTGTATTTTAAATTATTTTGTATTTATTATTTAAAAACAACGATTATTACTGTATAACAATAATGCAATTTCTAGTAATTATATTTTTACTAAATATTTTTAATATAGTATATATTAGTTTTAAAAATTGTATAATACAACAATCAGTACATTGTATTATAACTTTGACTGTACAGTCAAAATTCAAAACCTTGTATATTTCCAACCCTGTATTTACTGTATATACTAATAGTGTATTAATATAACCTGTAAGTAAAGTACTACAGTTTTATACAGTATTACAATATATTCAAAATAGTATTTTGTTTAATACAACTTAATTTATAACTTAAAAACTTTTTTGAAATAACATTTTAAAAATATACGTAAAATTATTAATTTAGATTATATTATATTTTTTGTATTATAAATCTAGAATTTGATGAATTAGTTATATATAAATGATATATAATATCATTAATGACTGACCTGTTAGTGGGAAAGTCTGATTTTGAAGAGCAGTTGGAAAGTCAGTATTTTCAGGAACAGAGTTGGAGTAATCGTCAAGAAGTGGCAAATCGGTACTCATATCCTGACCGCTATTTCGAGGCACAAGTATTGGTGGAAGTGTTGGCGTTTCTATCCTTTGATAGTGGTATGGGTTGACACACACTTCGTCTCTCTTAAGACTGAACGCGTACTGACACGTGTCAATTGCTTTGAGCTCGTGATGACTCGACAAGTCAGGCCATCGCCATAAGCGGCAATATATCACGTGAGGTAACCCTTTACGCTGTGACACCTGTAGCCTACCATCCAGTGATCGAGGAATAGTAACACACTTACTGGGCTGACCCGGTTGTGACAGTGCCCGCTCTAACTCTTCAACGGCTCCTTTTTGTTTCTTTAATTTCTTGACCAACGAATATACGGCTTTTTCAGCCCATTTCGCCTCTTCGTCGCCCTGTTTCCAACCTAACCATCCATACAATCAAACCATAAATTAATATTTTAATACAAATATAATTGCTTAATAAAGTCAATTGTTTAATATTTGGTCCCATTATGTAAGCAACATGTCATGTAAATAATCACAACGTTATGTAATAAAAGGGTCAAAACAACAGATAAAGGGTTAGTTGATTATCAATACAATTGACTATTTGATGAAATTTGGTCACCAATTGTATGATAAACTGTATTATAATCACTCAATTGATTAAACATCGATACCATTGATGACATATTGTATGTCTTAGTGACCAATCATTAGTCATATGCATGTGATATACATTTGCGACCAATTGTTATACAGTATGTCATCAAATCATATAAAACAATGTCAATCAATGTTGTCATCGATGGTCAATACAAACCTAATAATTTCTTGACTATGGGTGACGTTATACTAAACAATGAGTTAATTGTTGACATCTCATTGATTAACAATTGGATCAAAACAAGTGATAACTCTTTGACACAAACAAAACGACAGACATTTTACACAAAACCCTTTGAAAGACTTTCTCCACAAATAATGTATACTTTAAGTGAAGGAATTGATGACAATATAAGACTACAGTATTGAGAGTCTCATAGACTCTGTTACTATGCGTACAGATATTACACATATTATACATTCAATTGCATTCATATTAATACAAACTAGTGATCATTCATTCAATGATCACGTATTGTACTGTAATGTTGAACACAATATTCAAACAATTATATAATACTGTATAATGTAATACTCTATTATATAACTATTAAAATACCATATTTTAATAAAGTTTATTAAATTGTCGATTAGATATAATTAGATTGAATTTAATTAATATATTGTAATTTTATAATAACATTAATTTTCCGACTTGTTTTCAATTATAAATTTACTATTATTCCATATTTTAATTTAAAAGTTAAAAATTATTCTAAAATAATTGACAGTTTATTGCTTATAATTGCTCTCTCTCTCTCTCTCTCTCTCTCTCTCTCTCTCTCTATTTATTTATTTATTTATAATATATAATGTATTATAAACAGTATATTATTTATTTATCTGTTATATAATAAATTAAGATTAATAATTATTAATAATCGTGTGACACATTAAAAGTAATTGTTTGCTTTACGAAAATATATACAAAAATTTCCAAATTATATATTAGTAAGTATAGGTAGATATACTTTTTTATTGCTTATTATTATGACTTTTAACTATTAATGACTTAAACTCTTTCTTCTATTGTTTTGTTGGTTTAACAGTTAGTTTAAAATAAAACATGAGATCTTGTAAAACCAATATCTTGTTATACAAGACTACTTTAAACAGACCCTTATAATGCATAAATGTATTAATACTGTAAATACATGTAAATTATTTGATAAATCATATTATACTTCAAAGGAAATGAGTACAACCAGAGCTTGAGATGGTTATACATATAAGTTATATTGTATTATAATTTACATACAATTACATACATTTAATAAAGTTAAATATAATTTATACTGTATTACAATTAGGGTTCGAGTTTCTCTATTTTTCATGCTTTCTGGGAATTCCCATGAAATCTATTCCATCCCTTGGAAAGTTGCCTGAACTCTAATTTCAATACAGGAGTACTACTGTATATGTAAGATGTATGCCATCAATGCAATGGTAACATATTATTGTATGTTTTTATGAACACTAGAATATAATATACAGTATATGTTATAATCAATTAAATGAACTACAATTCAATTTTCATTAAATTTTTACTTAAAATCCAATTCCAAATCAATTTCACATTTACTTTGTTCGCTTAATTTACATTTACATAATGTATTTCATTTATATAAATTATTTTTACTATTTATATATAATTTAATATTTAAAAAGAATTATTTATTTACCTATTTATAAGTTATAAATTATAACATATGAATGAACTAAACAGTTTGTCGATTAATACATGTGAAAGAATAATATATGGAAATTGTATAATACATTGTATAAGTCTGACTTAAATATAATTTTCATACAATTATAAAATGTAAACTTAATAATAACTTATAAATATTGATTGACATATTTTAGGATATCTATGTACTGTATAATACTGTTATATATAATAATAGAATATATTCTACAGTAGAATATAAGTAAACAATTAACATTACTGTTAATTAAATCAAATTTACAGTATTTTAAAGTAAAATTCAAAAGTTTTTAGTGATTTAGTTAACTTTATTACACAAAACTAGTAAATTCAGTTAAAATCAATTAATAATTCTAAGTCTAACTAACAGTACTTTATTCATATACTTTAAAAGATATGAGTTTTTGTATTTCAGATATTTTCTATTCTATTAATATTTTTTTAATTATCTATCAAAATCTTAAGACAAAATTCAAAAAATTATACAAAAAACAAATCTTAACAAAATTAAATACTTTAGATAATATTTCAGCATTTGGTAAATAAAATCAAATACTGTACATAAAAATATATACTGTAGTAATAAGGATTAAAGCAGAGGTTAAGTATTAAATATTTCTATATGTACTGTACTATACTGTAGATGATATCTGACAATATCTGATTATTTTTTAAATACATATATAGTTTTTTTAAATTCACTGATTATAATAGTCTTGATATGATTTATAAAATTCAGTATAATTAGAGTTCTGACAACTTTCCAAGGGAGGGAAGTTCCCTAATAAAAGCCATATTATTTTCCCTCCCTTCATCGTAGAAAGAAAAATATATTTTATAATTTTACAATAATTAATACCAAATCTATTTTTTGCATAAAATTTTATTGAAATAATTAAAAATAAATTTGAATTAATATATTTAACAATAACACCCAAAATGCAGTCTAATACAGCATTTATCATTCAAACCTTATAATAAAATTTGTTGTTTTGGGTCCAATAGGTGGTAATACAGGAAATAGATTCCCTGAGAATTCCCAGAGAGCAGAGAACATATGGAACTTTTTGAAAATAAAACAAGGAAAGGATTTGCCCGAACCCTAAGTATAATAAGTAAATAGCATTTTAATGTTAAATAATTGATAGAAAACTTACTTTAATTGTAAACAAATTGTAATTACAAAATTAGAGTAAAAATATTGTTTCTTTAATTTTAATTTATAATAAAAATTTATTTTTTTAAGTTCATTATATTTTGCTATTTTCGTCTAAAATTAATAATTAATATAATTTTAACGTTAAGACACTATACAGTAGTTAAGACCATTTGAAAGCATTTTATTTGGTTTTCTAATTATTAATACATTTGTCTACACTCTTACTCTGCCATACAATACAATCGCATTTAAGATTTTAATTTAACACAAATGTATGTAATTGTTATATAGTGAACATGTTTTGAATAGTTTATTACAATTATTACAATATATTAGTAGTGTCTGTCTGTCTGTATTGTCTGTATTGTCTGTTAATTATAGAGTCAAATATTATTAATAAATTAATATTCTATGAATATTATTAATAAACATTTAATAAATATTATTTTCAATTTAATTAAATTTAATGTCTTAAAATAAATATAAGTAATATTGTAAAAGTAAAATTATCTTTTTAAATATGTAAAACACTTATAGTTTTAAAATATGTAGTTATAACTTGTAATAGTAATGTTAATTTTCGTAATTAAATTTTCTATTTTGGTCAACATTATTGTAAATGACCCTGGACAACATCATTTTATGATCTCCTATTTTGACTAAACTTAAACTACATATAAAATACAATAAATTAAAAATTCTAATTTAAAAATTTTGTTTTTATTGTTATTGAACATTGGAATTAAAGTTATTAACAAAAATGTAAATTGTGTTTATTTAGTTATAACTTTTAATTCTTGCAATATTTTATAAATGTTTTTTCATAAATCTTTAGCTGAAAATATAAAACTTTTTTATATTATTTCCTGATTTTAATTTTTAATAATTTAAACAACAAAAATTAAAATAAATCAAATAATTTTGATTATCAACGTATTGCCCATCGGTTATCAAAAATATTATTTAATATAATAAAATAGTTACCAATTAGCTTTGTTTATCAATAAAAATATTTTAGATAACTATCAATAAAAATATTTTAGATAACTGAGGGAAATGCAACAAAAATTAAAATTTTATATAATAAATACATTTAATAAACTGCTTTTATTTTTTCCGAATTTTAATATAAATTATTGCCAAAATAATTAAATAATACTCATTATCACCAAAATTAAAATATTATTAAACAATTTAATTGTTTATAACTAAAATTTTTCAAAAGTAATATATATTTTTTTTTTGAATTTTAAAATTGCGTTTTTCGTAAATGACAACATCAAGTATATCTGATTTATTATTACCGTATTTCTTCGCTAACACATTCAGGTATTAAATGTGAGGAATAGGAAAACATATGTAATTTAATATCATATAAAAAGTATTGGTTATAACTAGAGCTATGTTTCTTCGGGAATTCCCGAAACTTTATTATTCATTAAATCGTCGGAATTTAATATTTATAGAAATGTGGCGACATTTTGAATGAAATTATCGGTTATATTATATAAGTTATAACTATAGCTATGTTTCTTCGGGAGTTAAAATGACCAAAATCGGTCGGGAAATCGGGAGTAAAAAATGGCAAAATCGGGATATAAATCGGGAAACTAAATTTTGTTTTATTCTTATAGTATTAATAATAAATAGTTTATACGTCCCAAAATCGGTTACATTTGCTAAAAATAATTTATTTTCAGTTTTTAATTGAGTAATTGATTATAAAATGCATTTATTTTTTATTTATAAACTAAACTTTGTTAGCAAACTACCATAGTAAACAAAAAAAACATTAATTAATTTATGTATTACAGTAAATATTTTTACAATACATACAAAACTACAGTCAAATTATCATTCATTGCTATTGAGTTAATATTGTATTAGATGTACTGATAATATTGTAATCAATATGTATTTAAGTGTTATGTCAATCAATATTTAGCGAATTTCGGCGAAAAACACACTTAAATAGTGTTTTTCGGCGTTTTTCGGGATTTTCTCAAAAAATACAAAAATTCGGGAAAATCGGGAAAAATAATAGGCGTTAATTTCATTCAAAATGTTGCCATATTTCTATAAATATTAAATTCCCGACGATTTAATGAATAATAAAGTTTCGGGAATTCCCGAAGAAACATAGCTCTAGTTATAACACAAAACTTTAGTACCAGTAATCAAATTACTCCCATCTCTTAAGTTTTTTGGATTTCTGTAATAATTGAAATTAATAGATCATAATTTATAATTATAATTTATAGTTTCTCTTACCCCTTGTTGTCTTCCCCCACACCATCACATTATTTACCACTTGTGATAAAAAATGTCAATTTTTACAATAATATAACGAAATTGTCGTATTTTTAAATTTTTTATTTAATGGTATATTTATTTTTATATTTTTGTTATCATTAATATCTAATATACAGTACTGTATACAGTATACTGTATATACTGTAAATACTCTTTGAATATTTTTTATTAAATTACTATCAAATGTTTACAAAAAATGATGCAAAATATTTTGGTTATAAAAAATTTACATTTATATAAAATAAATTATTATTATCTTTAATTTAAAATGTATTTTAATTATAATGCTATTTAATTAATTTAATGACTAAAAAAATAATTTTAAATTAAAGTCTTTTACTGACAAAATTTTCAATCAAATATCGATTTAATTTGTTTTTTGAATCGATTTGTTCACTCATGAGATACTTATCCGACTCCCACTTCCATAGCATGCGATTAGAAAAAGTGTAGCGAAAGTCGGCCAAACTGTCGGCAGGGAAGTCATAGACTGATGTGCCGTTTTTCATGTTAAAGTAATACAATTTATTTTGAGATCGACTCCATTTGACAATCCACGGCTGTTTCACTGTATTCACTATTAATAGTCCGTATGGTATGAAAAACCTGTCGTCACTATTGATTTCATAACAAATTCTAACTTTTTGTGCACCACTTTTACACTCTTTCATATCCATGTGTTCAAAGATTTGATGGATATGTTGCAAATCGTAGACTCGTTTCATCCTTATGGCCGCATATTCTGATTGACTCGTTTTGTGGACAGCTTTTGCAAATTTAGTGGCCATTGATATTCGTTCTTCAAAACACTTGTTCCTCACATCAGTTCCACCAATAAATAGCGGATCGATTATATGAAAGGCAGCGATCCTTTTTTGAGCCTTTCCTTCGCCTTTCAATTCTTGAACATATTCTCCATAAATCAGTGTTGACGGAGACAATTCAAATTTGGCGTCAAATTTAGTCCATTTAGAAGATGCAGATCCGTCCCAATAATAAATATGAGTGCGACCTAAACCCATGAAGAATCCACGAACACTAATGAAAGAATTGGCGCCACAGCTATTGTAATCATTTTCAGCGCTTAAAACCATACATTTGAATCCATGAATGTAATCCAATTCATTGACATTATCGGCCTCTAATATCTTAGGCTTGTAAGCAAAATAATCTTTTACTTCATTTGATTTAGACAGCAATTCTTGAAAACGAATCATAGGTTCTGATCGTAAAGGAGCCGAACGGGCTTTGACCTCAACGTCCCAATACTTAAGACATTCTTTTCGCAGTTCCGACTGACTGTAATCGAGTTGTGGATTCTCTGCAAATGCTTTAACTTTTGACAAAAACAATATTTGTCTTCTTCCTATTGAATCATTTGAATTAATTATATATTTAAGAAAAGTTTGATCTCTTTTGAGAACATCCATTGGCACCAACTCTATAATATCTTCAGTTGATTTTTCTTTTGCTAAACAATCCAAATGACAATTAACACTAAATAAATAGTGTTCGATAGCTTCGGTTCCAGACTTCTTCCACTTGCAAATGATATATCGTTCAGAATTTGCGGGTCGACTGCTGTTAGGCTTATGTATTGAAACCTTTTTGAATACTCTATACATTAAATATATTAATCCGACGCTAAATGAAGAAAACACATCAAAAAGTTTGCAAACAAAACTTCCATTAGTTCTTAGCAGAGCTAAAGAGCACAGAAATTGGCATAAATATAGTCTTTTTGATAGTATCTCCTGATTGTTCTCATCTCCCTCTACAGAGAAACCTCCGTCGGCCATAACAAAGAAGACTCCACCGTCAGAGTTGCGGAGAACAAAGTCACGAAATGCTATCAGATTTTGCGGTTCATATATATCTCCGTTTCCATTAAGACCTTTGTCGCCGTAATGTGGTTCAAATGTTTCAGGAGAACCAGCAAAGAACTCATCTAATTTGAAATCATTGGGACCTTTAAGTGTAAACCCAAATCCTTTTGCTGTCCATTTTTTTCTCCATAAGACATACTCTGAGAACCCTCCCGGACCCGAACAGATATCCGCAAAATATAACAACTCATTTGGTTTGACTAATGATTTTCCCGATTCATCTTTTGGTTGAGTAAACATATAATCAAATACTGCGTCCATATTAGCCATCTTCATGGCCGCTCTGTTAAGAAATATTCCCTTTTCTATGGTTTCAAATGGATTAGAAGTCGATCGGGCTTTTCGTAATTCTTCACCACTTAGACTATCAAAAACAGTCTTACAATTGATTATATTTCTCAATATTTCCGGATCACAAAAAAGTGTTTCGTTTTCAATACTCGTTAGCTTTGGTCCCACTTTATAAAAGGTGTCCAACTCTTTAGTGGTCGGCAATGGTTGTTGACATTCATCGATCCAATCAATGTTTTCTTCAACGGACGCAAATTCCTTTTCTTTATCTGAATTCCACTCCAATTCTGGATCTAATTTGATTTGAGTCAATGCAAATCCAAGACCACGTCTTCCCTTTTGTTTTGACTCTTGGATAACATCGACATTTCCCTGACTATCTTTACCTAATCCCTGTCCCTCTTTATAACCCATTTTACTCATCAAAAGTTTTCCGATGTTATCCTTTGATTTAATCACTGGTTTGGTTTCATTGTCATTGTTGTTCAACTTGTTATTAGTTTGTCCAAAATAGCTCTTTTTCTTCGGCGAAACTGTGTCTTCTTCATTATCTTCAGTTTTCTGACCAAAGTCTGCGTAACTCTTCCTCTTAAGTGAGTGTTTGTGAGCCATCTCTTTGGACACGACGTCAATGATCTCTCAAACAGTTATTTAAATTAAATTTGAGTCAAAATAAGATATTTGTTAATAAAGTTTTTTATATGATTTCATGGGATCTAATAATTGTGATAAATGTTTGACAATTGTATATAAAGTAATAAATTTATAATTAAAATCAATTCAATCAAATGTATGACTCGATTGCTGTTCAAAACTACAGTCATTTAATACATGTATTATTGATGTCAACAAATGTGACACAAATCACGTGACAAAAGTGTGACTACTTTTTACAAAATTTGTTTGTTTGTTAATAATGTACTTTAGTTTACAGCAAAAAATATTGTCTTCAATAATCATTTATCACATATTAATAATAAATTAATAGATAATTATAACATTTCCAATATATTTGATTTTATTAACAAAATATTGTTATAATTAAATTATTAAAAAAACTATAATTTTGGATAAACACGATTCAAGTCATTAGAAGATTTGCCCAATTGTTTGGGCATTTTCTTGTTAGTGGTGTCTTCCAGTTCTTTATCTTTATAATAATGAGGAGCGACTTCCAGAAGCCATTGAGACTCAATTTCAATACTTTGTCGCATATATTCTTTAGTTGTTAAGACTAATTCATGATAGAGAACCCAACGAGGCTTCTCTTCGAAAAGTGATGAATTGGGATGAATGAGGACAGTCTGCTGACCCTTTACTGTCTTATACTGTCCACCGGTTTTAGATAGTCTGGCCGTATGATAGAAATATCCGGCTGTTAGAGCTTTCCTGATAGCAATGTGGTCACCATTGCTAGACTTGACTTCAATCTCAACTCTTTCTATGAGACCCTCCAACTGGTCCCTTACATCTCTTGCCCGACACATAGATCTGTATTGAATGAAGTTTTCGAGACACCACTGTCGAGAATAACCGGATTCAACCCATTGGTTATAGACGTTAACGAGCATCAGATGATCGCCACCTAATTGAAAAAAATTCTTCCTCGCAGTGTCCGCGTGAATGGCCTTATCTTTAGGTCGATAAAAGACAGACGCGTTCACACTCAACATCGCACAGATGGTCACAATCTCTTCACTACAGTTATACTTTTCAGATGCAAGCAATGTCTTAGACATCATAGGATCAACTGGAAATTCAGCCATTCTTCTTCCAAGACGAGTTAGTTCACCCAAATGATTGAGTGCTCCCAAAGCGTACAACTGTTCTAAAGCTAATACAAGTGTTTCGTGTGGCGGCGGATCCAAGAAATCAAAATGTAAAATATCATTAATACCCAAACTTTTGAGTGATAGGACAACATTTCCCAAATGAACTCTTTGAATCTCAGGAATGGTATTTTCTTCGAGTTCGTGCTGATACGCCCACGCAGTAAAAAGTCTGAAACACTTTCCAGCAGCCACTCGACCGGATCGACCGGCTCTTTGATTTGCACTGGCTTTTGAAATGGGAACAACTGTTAATGATTCCATTCCTGTTCTCGGATTAAAACTATTTTGTTTACAATATCCCGGGTCTATGACAAATAAAATGTTATCTATTGTTAGTGATGTCTCTGCAATATTTGTGGCTAAGACTACTTTCCGGGAATTAGGTGGTGTCGGTTCAAACACCTGTGCCTGCATATCGGTCGGTAAATTTGAATAAATCGGTCGAATTAATAGTTCACGTATTTTCGACCCTAATTTTCGAGTTCTTTCTGTTAAAATTTCTTGTGTTTGTTCAATCTCTTCTTGTCCCGGAAGAAACACTAAGACATCACCTAACGATTGAGTCACGTGTATCTGTAGAATAGTCACAACACAAGCTTCAATATAATCAGCTTCGGGTGCTTTTGTGTAATAGATATCAACAGGAAATCTACGGCCGGGTATACGAAAAACTGGCGCGTCGTCGAAGAATTCGCTAAATTTTTGTGCGTCAAGTGTTGCCGAAGATATTAATAGTTTGAGATCAGGTCTGAATCGTGCAATATCTTTGACGAGTCCGAACAAGACATCCGTATGTAATGTCCTTTCGTGTGCTTCGTCTACTATTATAACCGAATAGGTGGCTAAATCAGGTTCAGACAGAAATTCGCGTAAAAGCATACCATCCGTCATATATTTAAGAACAGTTCTTTCACTCGTACAGTCTTCAAATCTAATACTATATCCGACTTCATTACCTAATTTGACACCCATTTCTTCAGCCACTCTTGCAGCCACACTCATGGCAGCCACTCGTCGAGGTTGAGTACATCCAACTTTTTTGTTGTCTTTACAATATCCGTATTCATGTAAATATTGAGGAATTTGAGTCGTCTTTCCAGATCCAGTCTCACCTTCAATGATAAGCACCTGATGTTCTTTGATAGCTTCAATTAGTTCCTCTTTAAATGGATATATTGGAAGTGAACGTCTCGTTTCATCGATAGTTTGTCTCTTTATCTTTTTCTCATCTTTAACTTCTTCGTCTTCTTCTTCAAAATTTTTGCCTTCAATGGTAAGCGACTGAACGAATTCAATTTCTGCGTCCACAACCAATTCGTACTCCTTTTTGGACTTTGATTTGGCGTCTTTGGCACCAAACCGAAGTCTAGCGCTTCCGAGTCTCTCTTCTTCCCATTTTCTTTGTTCAGCATTTGGTGCCTTTTCTGTGTCATCAACTTCAACGTATTGCTGTTGTTTGTCTTCAGTGGGAATGTGATATCTCTGTGCATTTTGTTGATCCCTAGCCCTGTCATGATCTCTGGCCAAATTCAACACTTTCTTGTGGTATTCGAACTGTGCTTTCTCTCGTTCAGACAGATCAACACCTTTGAAAAGAAACTCTTCGTCAGCAATGTCTCCCTCAAGAAGTGCCAGTTTATCTTCCTTTCGTTTCTCCAAATACTGTCTTCGCGACTCAACTCTCAATTTAGGAACAATTTTCTTGCGGTCTTCGGCTTCGAGTTTGAGTCGTTTGACCGCTTCTTCGTACGATTTCTTATCATTTTTAACGGCAATATTTCTCGTCTTATTCTTGTCTTTCAATTTAAGTCTTTGTGAGAATTCGTCCCTTTCTTTCAAATCTTTAGTCCTTTCTTCGTCTTCGTCCGAATCCATCGCTTATTATTGAAATTAATATATAATTACTATTAATATACTCTTTATTATCAATATTTATAAAACTATTTTTCAATGTTTTTTCGATTTAAATACAAATATAAATAATATATAAATTAATGATAAAATAGACGTAATTTATGAATACTATATGTATTGTTGTATTATATGTTGTATAATATACTGTAGTATTTGCAGTGCATTTCAATTATATTAATATTGATTTCAATTGATTACTAAACAAACAATTGATTATATTTTGACAATAATTAATAGGACTTAAAGACAGTGATAATGAATGACAAGAGTGATGACAACGGCATTAATTTGCGGTCATTGAAACAGATTGACCGCAACATCGATGAGATCATATCACTGTGTGGTCAGTGCGCTGTCTATAAGTTTAGTAAAGACAACGCCGAGTGGGAGCGCAAAGAGATCGAGGGATCGATGTTTATTGTCCACCGATTACCACCCGATGAGTATAGCTTTGTGGTCATCAATCGGCTCAACACTACTAATATGTTGCAAACAATTGACCGCAACTTTGATATTAACATCACTTTACCGTATCTTCTCTATAAAAACACATTGAATGAGATCTTCTGTATTTGGTTTTACGATGAAAACGATTGCAAGAAATTCAGTCAACAGCTCAACAATATTATCAACAAATTGTCGAATGAGAGCAACAGCTCAACACAATTGAATGATATCTTCAAGAAGTTATGTCCAGTGACTACTATGGCCACAGTTGATAATAATGGCGACGAGTCTCATAAATTAGCGTCAAATGGTGGCCATAATGGTCAGCGAAGTCAAACACAAGTATCAACACACGTATCAACACAAATAGTCAATCAGACACCGACAGCAAAGATCAACAAAATGAGTCTTCGAGTCCACGATTTGTTTCAAACGGCCGGTCAGACAATGCCTGTCATTCCAACCGAAGCTTTCGTACAAAACCCGGAAGATCTTGACGACGACGTCATAACACCAGCGATGTTAACCAATCAGAGCTCAAAAACTAACGCTAAAGAAATTGGAGTTCAAAGTTCAACGGTTCTAAATCAACCACAAACTATGGCCCTCAATGTTAACACTTCTTACAATCAAAATTTTTTGCCACAATTGATGGTTAATAAAGACAAAGTGCCGCCATCAGGGGTCCTCTCTATGGAACAGTTGAAGCAAACTTTAGTTTATTTACTTCAAAATGACGCCGACTTTTTGCATTCAATACATACGGCTTATGTAAATGGGGTTCAGAAATAAAATCACATTTTTGTGTCAAATTATCAATGATATCACTTATATAGGTATACATTGTATTAATTCGTAACCAACATTCAAACATGAAAAATAAAAATCACTCATTTATATTATATATATAACTCTGTCATTAATTTAATGAAATATTTTTCAATATTATGTACCGTAATATAAATACTGTAAATTGGACTTTTAACGCATCAGTGGTAAAATAAATTTATTAGAGATGATTATACCGTACAGTATATAATTGAATTAATTTAACATTATTTTGCTCACAATTATGTTGATTTACTAATAAATTTGTTGGTAAATATATGAAATTGTTTTTGTATCCATTAATTGCATGTTATTAAATAGTTTACGGGACTCTAAATTACTGTAGATATTAATAAATAAATATTTTAAAGAAATTAATATTTATTAATAATAATAATAAAAATTAAAATAGTACATAATCGTGTTAATCATCGATATCAGTTAAGTTTGAGAAACAACTATTTATATTTAATATTGTAATGAATATAATATTGAATAAGACTTTGATTTTAAGATATTTTGGGCGCCGACCGATAGATATCATGGATTATTAGGAATTGCGAGTTTTGAATAAATTTAATGAATAAAAATTTTATATAAAAACAAACACAGAAATAGTAACTAATTAAAAATAAGTCAAATGATATCAATTATATAGTGAATGATTGCGATTATTAGATAATTAGACGAATTAACCAGAAATACTATACGCCATATATAACATGTTTTCTGAGGAGTCCTCGGGAGACATACTATGATTGGGCGCCAACACTGAAAATCCAATAAAACTAAATAAACGAATCAATGAATCTAACAAATAAATTAATAAATAAATTAGTAAAGTATTAAATGAAGAGATGGTTAAGTGGGACTCACTTCTGTCACTTCTGTTTTTATCGAAATAAACAGTCACTCTTTGACAGGTAAGCTCTTCTTCGGCCAATTCTAGTAAACTAATGAATGCTTCCTTAGAGTTATCCAATGATATTCCGTTAGGAATTTGAATCAATAGATTTTCTTTCCAAATGATTGCTTTCCATTCAACGTCGTGTCCCTCCAGAAGCCGGATGTTTAATGTCAGTCTAATAGCACTTTGTCGCGACTGTTTAGTCAGTTCTTCAATGGTCGGCGGAGCCCTATATTTGCCCAAAATGTTGCTCTCAGACAATGATATCGATGAAACACGATTTACATCTATAAGTTGACTTTGGGGGACATCAGGAGCACCACTGAGGCCCCGAACCCAAGGAAATACAGTAATGACGAAGGGGTCCAATATTACTGAAATTTACAATATTTAACATTATTTTAAAACCAATTATTTAGTCACAAAATATTTTTTAAATCTATTTATAATATTTTATTTATAACAAAATTACATTATATTTATGCTAACAAACCAAAAGTCATAAATACTATATTAATCAATTATATTTAGTTTGTTTGCATTTTTCATTGATATTCTAATATTAATCATTAAAATAATTGATAAAAATTATAAAATTATAAAAATATGCTAATGATCTAAATTATAAAATCATTAATAATCCAATCAATATATATATACAATATATATATATATATATATATATATATAATGTATAATTACATAATTACTCGAATATACGCTACTATCTGTCATATAGTAATGTTTGTTTCCAATATACTATACTATATATATATACCACTTAAATATCATAAAAATATAACATATTATATCAAATACTTTAATTCAAGGTTAGACATAATATCGATTGAATAAATTTTGAAATCGTCGGACAAATAATAGTATAAAAATAGTAAAAATAATAAAATAATTTTTAAAAAATGCTAATATAAGTAAATTGAATTAAAGCCAATTTTTTAAAAATCCAGTAATAAGTGTATATAAGATTTGCGCAAATCATGTCATATGAGAGATTAAATGATATACATATACCGTACAGTATATATTTATTTGAAGGTTTTTCAATGTTACACATTTGTTACTAATTTTATTTAACTATATTTACGCTTTTGTATTAAATGTTTATTAAATTTACTGTAAATTATGTCTTTGTTTTGAAGTCTGATATATCTTAAGACAAAGTACTTGAAATGAGTAAACACTTAAATAACATTTGTTATAAATTTAGCAATTAATAGACTAAACATTAATCCAATATATCTGTAGTTAACAAATAGGAGTTTAATTTAATATTATTTGATATGACTAAACCAGTATTTTATTACTAAATTTAATCAATTGATCAATTTCAAGTATTTGTTATATAATTTCAGTATAATTACTAACACTTATTTATATAGTTTTTCTTATATTATCAATATTTTCTGATAAAATTTTTAAAACTGATTTCTATTAATGATAAAAATTAATGCGTTTTCACAAATATTAGGAAAAACTAAATAGCTTTAAATTTTAACTATAAGCAACATATTGATTAAATGCATTTATATTAAATTTAAAAAGTTTAATTAACTTGAAATAATGCTATATCTTATTATAGTCTACCAATTGATTAAACAATAATATGATAAATTTGATTAAAATAAAATAATTATTTGTGATAATAATAACGATTCATAAGAAATGGGAAGTAATATAAAGGAAAGACTTGAAACATATCTATAAATGCTATAAATATGTATTATTTTTGCTATATATTCAACAATCGATATTAAAGTGCTATCAATGATGGCATTGACTACTAGTCAGTCCATCCAAATACTAACCTACTGTTCAAATGCTTTAATCCATAACTAATATGCGATCAATAGGTATATCTCTTTACAAACTCATATATTTTAATTATTATTATTTAATTATTAATAAACACTAACTAAAATATGCACATTTCTTATATACTGTATTTATAAAATTAAGTTTAAAAAGTAGTTAAATATTTAATAAAATATTTGTAATTTTGAAAATAAATTTTACTTATTAAAAACAAGAGTAATGATCTTTAAAATATAAATAAATTATAAATAATCGTAAACAACATTTTTGTGCCTATAATTGATGCAAAAGTATAGACTTATCAATATTTGTTAAACAAATTGCTTTAATTAAAATGAAAAGCATATACAGTACTAAACTTTATTTATTTCAAGTATTGATTAGTGATATCTTATTATTGATATAAAAATGTTTATTTGACGAATCGTATAGTATATGATATTTAGTAATAATTAATATGTTTATTGAATGGCATATATAGTTAAAAAGTACTTTATATGAAATGAATAGCAAATATGCATAACATGTATAACCAGTTCAACCACTCATTCAAACAATTTGTGGGTTTTTTCCATTCAATTAACACTATTTGCCATTTGATACTATATTTTCATTAAATTACATAAACTATTGTTTTTAATTCAATTATTAAATAAAACTTTATAGCATATCATAGATTATAATCATTGAAATATATGATAAACTAATTAATTAATGCAATTAATAGCATAAATCAAATAATAGATTATGAATAATAAATAATAAAATTAATGTTTTAAAAAATAGCATTTGATTAGTAAAAACAAATATTTTTGTCAACCATTTTGTGTATGCAATCAATGCTATGGATATTGTTGTCAATAATCATATGATTGTATTGTAAAACCAATTTAAGACATACCTGAGCTCTGATGGGTTGTTAGTCATAATTGATGGCATTGTATTGAATTTAGTGTTAATTGATTGACAATTTAAGTTACAATTAATATCACGACTCATACCGAAAATATCAGAAATATTATTATAAGTTATCTCTTGAGTGGTCTTAACATAACTGAAGCCAAGTCTGTGTCGTTCATCACTTGATATACCAGTGCTATGACTGTGACGTCAGTACTAACTCACTCGCATTCAACACAACTTTAGTACAGAATATTCCGATATTTCTATTATATGTATAGTTTTGAAAACATTCAAACAGAGGGAAGTTTCTTATAAATTTCCCACTAAAACAAACATATTTTTGTTTTTATCAAAGTTTAATCAATGAATTTAACAAAAGTTTTATATTAATCAACAATTTGTAAATATTAATCAAATGAAACTTATTTATCATTAGCTTAAATATTACTGTTTTATTGTTATTATCTGTTAATTAAATCTAATCTAATTTGTTCTATAAGTTTCAATATTTGAAAAAAAATTTGCATAAACTTTATGGAAAATTGGATTTATTAAATATAGGAATTATATTAATTTGGAAAAATAATTAAAGGAATGAAAATATTAAACAATAATTATATGATAGTAACACACCTTTGATTTAACTAATTATGTATTATATCTTATATTTAATAACTAATTATTTTATTACTTTATCAGTTAAACTGTATTTTGCAATAATTATTGTCAAATAATTAATAGTATGTTTTATTGTTGAAAACAATAACTTAATTAGGTATCGGACAAAAATTTATACATTTTTAAACAACATTGGAATTCACAATAATTAAGTTGTTTGTATTAATAAAATATTTATGCATTAAATTGCTATTATATTGACAGTCATTATTTAATATTTTTTTAATTTGTAAACTTAAGAAATTTATATTTTGTTTTATAGTAAATAATATAATATAAAAATACTGTTAACTTAATTACATCATTGTTTGTTTTATGACTATTTGTATTAAAATTTATATAACATTTTATATTTTATGCAATATTCTAATAATGTAAAAGTAAGTAATCACTAATCAGTTCCATTATTTTATAATAATTATAATCTATTGAAAAATAATGCACTGATTAGTGATTACTTACTTTTTACATTATTAGAATATTGCATAATAAATTAGTTGAGAATATTAAAATTAGCATTAACAAACTAACTTTTGACTGTAATTTTAGACAGACAGAGACAGACAGACATATTCGAACTTCTTCGAGGAATTTGTGAAATTTTGATTTTAGTTAAATATAATACAAATACAAACATTATTTACATAAATTTATATTGACTACAATCACATGTATTATATTAATAATAATGTATGTAATGAATAGGACTTGTTAGTAACTAAGTCACAATTTTAACTAATAAGTGCATTATTTTGTAAAATATAGATTTATTACTAAAAAATTGTTTTTTAATATAAATGACATCATATTTTTTATTTACTTTTTACTAAGTTTTTATGACAGTTTAACTCACTTTAACTTGAATTTAAAATTAATTTGAAACCAAACATAAAAGTACAGAAATATGAGAAAACTTTTAATCTTTTTATTGATACTAATTAAACTACAATGAGTTTAAAGTTGTGGTAATTTATTATATGGTGATATATTTCATTATTTAGTGCAACTATTCTAAAATATAGTACACTAAATATTTTAATAATTTCAAATGAAACATAAAAATTGAGAAAAACTAATATTATTTTTTTTCATTTTAATTTATAATTCTTTAATATAAACGATATAAATATATCCAAATTCTTTATATGCAATTTTTTTGTTTAATATACTGTATTTACTGTATATGTATATAACATATTAAAGACAATTTTTAAAATATTAATATAAAAACAAAACAATGTCTTTGACACCGATTTTAGAATTTTTTGAGTGGTTGTCTACCGGATAGCGGATCCAATAGATTTGATATTAATTTTATAATCTTAACGATTAGTGGTTACTAAAGTCAATGAGTGATTGGGTTAGAAATCTTAGGGATTCTGTAAAATATTGTCATTTATTACAAGAATGTTCAGACTTTTTGTGATCATTACATAGATTTCATGACCACCGATGATGAACATCCATATGAAAACAATACGTTTAGATTTATTTCTTTTTTAATTAAATAATAAATGTAATAAATTATTTAGTTTTAATTACAATATTTGTGACTAACATTCAGATGATATAAAATGTGATCAGAATACCAGTGATTTTGTTATTATTAACCATTAAATTCAATAAAACAAACTTATTTGCAACATATCTGGCGCATAGTGTAATCAAAATTATCACATTCTTTTAAATTTTAATATTATTAAAAATATATTCATAAAATAAACTCAAATAAAATATCCAAATATATAATTAGCCAAAAATTAATTAATACTAAATGTTAATTAAATAAATCTGTATTTAAAATGCAATAAGTTGTATACAAAGAGATTGAACGTATAGTCAGTCGTACAGTATATATAAAATAATGCATTACAGAGAAGAGACTTTTAGTGAGATTTTAATTAATCAAATGTTTATTAAATATTAAACAAAATAATCATATTTTATATTTTTATCATAATATCAATATTCAAAAATATTATTAGTATTATAACAATAGCCGCAATGATTTGTATGATTAATATAGAAAACTACAAACTTATATATAAAACATTTATTAGTTGAACCAATCCTTTGAATTTGAAAACATTAATAAAAGAGATGCAGTTTTGCGCAAATTCACCAAATAATGGATCAATAAATTAGAGGTTATGGCAAAAGGTTTCGACAAAATTTATACACAAAAGTGTTTATTGTTTTAAACAATTGCTACAATATAGTAGTTATAGAGTTAGTATTATTATTAGTATTATTATTAGTATTATTATTGTAAATTTATAAAACATATCGTATATAAAATGTCACAATTAAGTCAAAAGACTTTGACTTTTAAGATACTTATATTAGGCGACAGTAATGTTGGCAAGACTTGTATTGTTCATCGATTTTGTGACGAAAATTTCATCGACGGATATATTTCAACAATTGGTATTATTTAAACATTTTTATTATAATATAATTTTATATCCATTTATATTTTGTAGATATATACAAATATTTTCGGTAATACAAAAATTTTATGTATATTATTTATGTTTGAATTACAGGTATTGATTTTAAGCAAAAACTTATCAATTTAGATGATATTCCTATAAAATTACAAATTTGGTATTAATTTAAATACTTTATACAAAAGAATACAAATAATAATAATAATAATAAATTAATTTTTGAGGGATTCTGCCGGTCAGGAAAGGTTCCGTACTCTCACCACTGCCTACTATAGAGGAGCTATGGTTTGACATTTATAATTGAAATTATAAACTACATTAACATAATTATTAAAAACAAATTTGTTGTTTAAAAATAAAGGGAATTATATTGATGTATGACGTGACTAATATAGACTCTTTCAAACACATTCCCTATTGGTTTCATAACATTGAAGAGGTATTTATTTTTTTAATATTTTAACCATCTGTTAGAGTTTGCTCTTAGTTTTTATCAATTGTATCGTATAGTATATTGCATTGTATCGTATATATCAAGTATATTAAGTTAAGTAATATAAATGTATATAAATAAGCATTTTATAAATAATATACTATATATGGCTTTTAAGTTTAATAAATTATGTACAGTATTATGATATTATTTGTAAATATAATAAAAATAAAATATAATAATATTTTTAGTAGTTTTAAAAAACTTACAGAATATAACATTAATATTAATACATTATTTTAAATAATGGATAACATATTATCAAAAGTAAATTTTATTGAAACAAACTATTGGTTTCAATGACTAGAATGCATCACCAGATGTGGTGAAGATATTGGTGGCCAACAAGTCTGACGCACAGCAACTGCGAGTCGTTGACCACGAATCAGGTCTTCAATTGGCTCAACAATATTCGGTGCCATTCTTTGAATGCAGTTGTAAGTCAAACATCAATATTCACCAAATATTTCACGACATCACTCAACTGATTCATAAACAATATGAACAACAGGTTAGACTAATTATAAAATCAATTTTTTTTTTAAATTTATGTCTTCATTCTTATAGTCAGAAAAATTTGATTATTTCGGTCAACACTTTGAAAATACAATAAATAATAAAATGTTGGAAAATAATTACGAAAATTGGACTAAAAGTCGTTGTAATAGTTGTCAAACAAATTGATTTATATTAATATATCAAATAAATAAACAAATTAATAGAAATATTTATTAAATCAATTGTTAATTATCTAATAAATGCCATTTAATTCCAATAAATGGCAACAAATTGGCGAACAATGCTTATGACTATTAGCCCGGAGGCCATCCAAGTTGTCGTCCGCCGATGACATGCAGATGTAAGTGATAAACAGATTGACAACCATTGGGACCATTGTTGACGACAACTCTATATCCATCCTGTAATCCCTGTTGTTTGGCCACAACTGTCGCCACAAACATCAAATGTCCTAATATCTGATCCATAATAAAACAATTGTTCCAATTATTAACTATTAATAGGTATTTAAATATCCCAGTTATAAATGAATACCTCTTTGTCTTCCTCCTGAGCGGCAGATAAACCAGTAATGGGTTTGCGAGGAATCACCAGAAAGTGTGTCGGAGCTGTTCATTAAAAGACAATACATTTTTGTCAGTTATTTATATAACATGTGTTTTCATAGCAATTGATTTACCCGTCGGTGACACGTCATTGAAGGCCACACACTGTCACACAAAATATTTGGCAAATTTTTACAAATCATTTAATATAATAAATGACCACAAAATCAATGGCAATCAATATCAATGAAATCAAAGAAAATACAATTATTTATTAATAAATTAGTGAACAACACGTCTTAGTTATGATATATGTCTTGATTGGTCACTAAAATGATATCAAAGTCAATACGAGTCAAACCTTGTTGTCTTCATAGATGAAATTAGTTGGTATCTCTTTCCTTAAGATTTTTCCAAATATTGTGTCACCGGATGGATGTGCTGTCTGTGCTTTAGTCACTTCGTCAGCCATAGTGTTGTGTTTGTTGTGAAGACTGTGCTGTTTGTCGTCTTTTATGAGATTACCGGTTGTGCTGTGAATGTGATGTTTGGTCTGAAAACTGACACCAAAGAAACGATTATGTCTTGTGATGTCACACAAGAAGGTATGAATGTATTGTTTGTTCACCAATTGATCACAGATTGTTACCACAAATCTATTTAAAGCCATTTTGCCATTAAATATGTTTGTCATTGAAATGTTATTTGACTTTCAATTTATTTGATGAACAGATCTCAAGGCTTTTGAGAGACGTCTGACGGAAGTGATAGCATGTCTGGAGCCACAGACCCGCAAATGGAGAATCTTATTAGTGGTCATCTCTTTAGCCACACTTATAGGTGGTATTCAGTGGGTGTCGGATCCAATCACATCTCAAGTGTCATTCATTGAATCTCTTGTGAATCATTTGTTTTTTACGACGAGTTGCATACTATTGACAACTTTATTCATATTTGGTGTCCACCGAAAAGTGGTTACCCCGCAGGTCATCGTATCGCGAGTCAGATCTGTTTTGCACGACTTTAACATGTCATGTGATGACTGCGGAAGACTTATACTTAAGGCTCATTCACAGTCTTCTCGATCGTCATCAATGGCCAGACATTAATTGCCATTCATTTGGCCACAAATCACAAGTGTCTTACAATATATAATCAAGTTTTAGGTATCTTTCAAATGAATAGTAAATATCTTAATATTTTATTTTATTTTTATATTTAAAATACATTTAGCTTTAAAACTAAATAAGTTTTAAATCTAATAAATATGTGTTAATTAAATTTAATAGTTTAATAAATAATAAGTCTCTGAAATGTGATATTTGTTGCAAAATTAGGCACAAAATTAATTACATTATAAAGTAGTAATTGTTAAGACATTTACAAAATATAAATTAAACTTCAGTCTTACATTATATTAAATTTGATGAATAAAATCTCAAATCATTAACAATTTGTTTGTATTATTTGATTAACAGTTAATATATTAATTTATGTATATATTTATTTATATTTTATACCTCTTTATATGTGTATATTTCGGCCAATTTTCCGGTTAGTATTATACATATATATAATACAATATTTGAAAGTTTTGAATAATTAGAAAACTAAGTCTTAAATTTTGAAAATTGTGCCGAAATATCAACAATAATCTCAATAAAATCCTACAATAATTGTAATTATTATTAATAACATTATATTAAAAATCTAAAACTGCATTTATTTATACCTAACTATCATTACTAAAATTTGTATACTTAGTTTTTGTTATTTCATAAATTTAACTAATGATAAATATATTAAATTACCGGTAATTAATTGTTCATAAAAATCAATTAAATGTTGGAATGATTTATAGATAATTAATAATAAATAAATTAAATTAATAGTTAAGACTACGGTAACAAAATAAAAATAAATTAAAAATAATAGTTTGAATAATTTAACTTTGAATATCAATTAAATTAATCAAATATATTATATTTTCTTGAGAACCGTTGCCAAACCCTTTTTGACTAAAACTGGAGGAATGGATATATTCTGTAGTTTGACATCCGTAGGAATGTATGGTATTGTGAAAGCAAAAGCATACTTTGTGTCCATCAATAGTGTCGTATTTGGTCCTAATTATTAAATTTAATCAATCATTAGTATCATTAAAACTATATTACGGTAATTAAAACTAATAAATCATTACAAACCTTCACTCTTTCTTTGTTCAATCAAATGTTTTTGAACCTGTTTTATGAAATTACTTGAAATCCTTTCTTCATCTCCAGCCGTATAGAGATTAAGAATTTTGATGATTTGTGACGAACTAATGGAAAAACATTTTTAAAGATAATTATAATATAACTATAAAATGATAATTTGTTTAATAATACCTAAGTTTGTTACACATCTCGACAATGGTTTGAATGTGTTCTTGACTTTTGCGGGTCTGTAACAGTTTGGTCGCCTGAATGATTGGTTCCAACTTTTCCACGCATTCGTTCCATTTAGGGATCTGTTGTTCTCTACACCACTGCTCTAAAGACGACAAATTAAACCTTATTTGCATCGCTTTATTCCAGTGACACAAGTCTTTGCGTAGCAATAGATTGTTCAGAGAACTCGAACACATGAAATAAAAGAGTTGTTTAAAAATCTGATGAATGATATCGCCATCAATGACATGAAGCAAAAGTATACGATTCAAGTATGAAAGCTATTGTCAATAATCAATAAAATAATAATTAAGTAATTATTCATTTCTTTTAAAATTAATTAATAATCACTTCTTTAATTAGTGTTTCAATCGGTTTTTCAGTTGGAGAGGGAGAAAGTGTTGAATCGGTGTCACCGCTAACACTACCAGACCTTTGAATTGAAGTTTGCGAATACATTCCCGAAGAAGCGAGTCCTTCGTACTCAAGAATGGCTGGAACTATAAGACTTTGGATTCTTTCTTCACATTGTTTAATAACTCCTACAAATAAATGACAATTTGTTAGTGTTTTTGTTAGAAATTAATTTTTAAAAATTTAGCCAAACCTTGATGTATCCAAATGGCGATATCGCTAAACATCTGTCTGTATTCACTTAAGTCGAAATTCTTGAGCGACTCATCGAACTCACCAAATGGTTCTTCGCCTGTCATTCAAAAGATTTTTATTCTTATTCGTTATAATTGTTTAAAAGTAAATTACAATTACCTGAAAATTGTTTTAAACAAGTGATCAGTTTAACAGTATTGGAAAGCCATAAAACAAGTGTTTCCACATTTGTATTCCTTTTAATTGTGCGCTTAAGTGATAAAATTGTATTATTCATGAAACTCCTGACCATAATATCATCGTTATTGTAATCACTGTAACGGATGCACATGAATAGGATATATGAAGGAATATGGGGTTGAAATTTAAGAGCAACACTGGGCTCCAAATCTGTATTATTTAAAAAATTAATTTGTAATTAACACAACAAACTGCAAATTAAAAGTTATCTAATTGTATGATATATACCTTGAATTAAAATTTTAAGTAAAAGCGCTTCATTTTGTTGCTTATATTCAAACATTCCCATATAATTTGCATTTTGTAAATCATTTGATTTAACACTTTCTAACTCATCCTCTTCTATATTAATATATAAATATATATAAAATTAGCGTTAATTATCTAAAATAAAGTAATAAATGATTTTTGATACCGTTATCGATGATCTTCCGTCTCATTAAATCCATTTTCATATTTTTGTTTTCCAGAAGCAATTTCTCGCATTTCTCCTTTAAAACGGTGTTCTCCTGTTTGAAACGCGTCACCAAATTTTCGGCGCCATTTCCACTGATATTTTCGTTATTAATACCAATCAATTGCTGTTGTCTGTTGTTATCAGTCGTTAATGAATTCATTTCGTTTCTATTAATATTTAAAATTAGTTAAAAAAAAATTTCTTAAAACTATAGTACAAAATATATACTTAGTTTGACTTAATGTTTGTTTAGTTTCTTCGAGTTCTCCCTCCAGTTGTTTGATTATAGCTTTGAATGCAGAAATGAGTTCGCTTTCGGAACTATTGTTTAAATTGATAAAATTAATTTCAATTATGTTATTATAAAATATAAAGATAAGACCTATACCCGGGATCTTTTATGTTAGATTCTTGCGAGAGGACAATAGTCTTTAAGTTAGTCCTCTCTTCCTTAAACCTTTCCAATTCAATCTGCATTTGAGCGCATTGTTGTGCTAGAAGTGAAGCTCCTCTTTCATTATCTTCTAAATCAGCCGAACTTGCGATCAATTCTCTCATTTCTTGGTTTTCTTGTTTGCATTTTGCGGACTCCTGTTCTAATTCACTGCATCTCATCATTAAAGAAACGGTCGATATATCTAAAAAAAATATTAACATTAAAATAAAAGACAATTAATATAAGATTCAATACATACCAGGACTCCGATCGTCTTCATCTTCACCTCTAATACCGCTTTGATATTTATCTTCGAGAGCCATATATTTGCGAAGTAATTGTTGTCGGGAAGCCTTTTCATTCTCTCTTTCATCAATTAAAGATTTCTTTTCTTTTTCAAATTTAGTCAAAAGTAGTTTCTCTTTTTCGCGGACGGCATCTTCGATAAGTTTTGGATCAAATTCTTGTTTTATTTTGGCAGTATTTGTCAATAAATGATTAATAGTTGTTTTATGTTTCTGTATTTCATTGACTAACTTTCCATTATTATTCTTCGCGTCTGTCATTTCCTGTTCTAATGTCTGGAACTCCAATTCCTTTTGTTTCAAATCATTCTTCAAGTTCTTGATATCCATTTCTAATTTTGTAAATTGATTCTTATATTCAGAGATGTCATTATCATTTTGTATGAGAGCTTTCCTTTCATTAAACAATTCGTCCACTTTTTGTTGTAATTCAATGATCTTTAACTCCAAACCTTTGTTGAGATTAGTCACGTGTTCAACACTTCGGGCTTCAATTCGCAATTTCTTGAGTTCTTTCTTAGCAAAGTATCTGCGAATTACTGACTGAACAATAATAATGCGTTTAATTGTCTTTCTATAATCAGTTCTCGTAGTAAATCCTCTCCAATATCTTTGTATAGTAATGGCCGCAAGATTTTCACGAATAATATTAAATCGTTTTCGAGCTAATAATCCGCGACAATAGGATTGAATACCAATTGTGGCTCTCTTTAACTTCAAATATTTGTTACGTGCAGTCCATGAGCGCCATTTTGTCTGAATAATAGTGGCGGCTTTTGTTTGTTTTAAGTGTATGAACAGTCTTCTTGCAAGAAAACCTCTGGCATAACATTGCAGTTTCATTACAGTAAATCTAATCTTCAAATATCGGCGCCTCATTAGCCAACCCCTAAGCATTCGTTGTATAAGAATAGCGCATTCCTTTAATTTTTGACTTCTGATGCGCTCAAGTAGAGCGACCTGTGCTGATCGGAAGAATATCTTTGTTTTGCCGAATTGGTATAATTGTTGTGCTTGTGGTTGAGTATCACCGCTTATGTGTGCAAACACTTTCTCTTCATAAACAATTTTGACAATATCTTCACAAAGAGTTCTGATTTCATTGGAAGTGCTGGAACCGGCTCTAACCAATTTTCTTGGGGCTGCTTTTGGCGTCTGTCCAGTAACTGGCTTTTGAATATTTTTAGATTTTCGGTGGGCACCAACTCTAAGGACACGATATCTATTGGCAAAATCTGGATAACTCCATCTCGAAGGAAATCCATTGGAACTAATTCTTATAGTTTCTAATACACCACAAGCTCTTAACTGTTGAACAGCTCTAATATTATTAAACTCGAAGGCAGCCTTATTGTCATTTGGTTTAATACATCTAACATAATGCGGTTCAGTGGCATTTAAAGTCTTCATCAAAGCAAATAATGAGTCGCGAAATTGTGAGCCAACAGTTGCTTTCGCCTGTTTTTGCTGTTTTTGTTGCGATTGTTGAGGAGTTATCTTAACTCTTCCACCAGATTTCTGTAATGGTTCACTGGATAAGCCATCATTAAAAAGAATGTCAACAACAGCTGATCTCTTGAGTAAATCAATTTGTTCTTCCATAATGGTATCTTTATTTTTCTCCAAAAAACCTAAAATAATTATATTAAACATAATTTTATTAATATTCAACAAAATTCAATAGTATTTTGCAAACCTTCAACATTGTAAATAACAGTATCTGCAAAATGTTGAATAATAAATGAATTTTTTGATCCAAATTTAGGTTTTTGAAAAACATCTCCAATAGTAAGTTGAGAGTAAAGCTTTGCGGCCCACGTTTCGTCGGAACCTGAGTTATAAAAATGAAATTTTAGATTTAAATCAATGAAATTAATAAATCACTCAATCAAACAAACCTTTTGGCATTTTGCACTCTTCGTCGAGAAGACATAAGACACCAATGGGTTTTGACTCAATTAAGTCAATCACCGGTTGATTGTCTGTAAAAGTTATGAATTGCCAATCAATACCCTCTCGAACATACTCTTCTTGTTCTAATTTAAAGACGTGTTGATTGAATTGTTGCTGAAGGACTTCATTTGCATAATTAATGCAAAACTGTTCAAAACTATTGATCTCGAAGTGTTCAAATCCATATATATCAAGAACACCAATGAAGTGATAATTGATTGTTGAATTAGTTGGTCCCAAAGCTTTATTAATAAGGCTAACAATCCATGAAAATAGAGTTTCGTAAACATATTTCAATAGAGCGTCCCTTCCGTTTTGGGCTTCCTCTGCAGTGAAAGTTTTTGTAATGATTTCTCCTCTCACTCCGGTCTTCAATAATCTATGAGTTAACCATTGTTTTGTAGCCAATGGATCCAAATCTGTTTATACATACAATAATATTATTATTAATTTTATTGTTTTACCGATATTTAAATAAATTTTGTTTTAAAATCTAAAATTATAATAATTTTCTTAAATACATTTTATAAAGATTTAAAAAATAATTTTTAATTTTATAATCTCATTTAGTAAAATAATAAGTTTATTCTTATATTCTTAATTTTATTTTTAAAAAAAATATTTTCTTTAATTTATAAATAAATATATATCAATGTATAAATTAGTTATTTATCTATATGTAAAATCATTATCGGTAACTGTAAAACTATCCAATGGATACTACTTTAATATACAGTATATGAATAGAGTATTGTAGAAGTACTAAGATATTCAACTTAAAAATTTTATGTTAAACAATAAACAATTAACAGTTTCCAGTATTTATTATTTTTATATGATTATGATATTTGATGTTAAAAATAATAAAAACAAACCTAAAAGTTGACAAAATATTTCTAAATGATGTTCTGATTGTTGTTCAATACAACATTTTTCATCATCAATACGAGTGAACTGAATGTTGCCCCCGTGTAATACCGATGCAATTACATTAAATATGAGATTTTGTTGTTTTTCGGTAAATCCTAAACAATGCATGGCCTCAACAAATCTGGTCATATCATCATATTGTGTCGGCTCTATTTGACCCAAATATATAAACTCTGTTTCGTAATCCAAACTAAAAATAATTTCAATTAGTTTTTGATTCAAAATACTTATAAATATAAATACTTGAGATGTTTTAGATTGTTTTGTTGAGCATAAGTACACATTTGATAAAATATATGAAAATTGCGTTCGCCTTCACTTTGTCGGCTAACTCTTGACTTCTCCAGAAGGTATGTCCTCATATTACCACCAGTTATGGCTCGACTTTGATTATCAAATAAAATTTGTATGTATTTTCCAAAACGAGATGAGTTATCATTTCTTGTAGTCTTAGCATTTCCAATCGCTTCCATTATAGGATTACTGGCCAACACTCTGTTCTCAATATTGGACGAATCGGTACCAGCAATGGACGCAAAATATCTCATCGCAAACTTTGCCGAAACAGTTTTACCTATTTATATATCAATCTATATGTAATATAATTTAATATTAAAATACTGTTTAATACCTGCACCACTCTCTCCGCTGACAATAATAGATTGGTTGGTATCATCCCTTTCCAACTTAGAGTAGGCGTCCTCAGAGACAGCATAGATATGAGGATCCAATTGTGCGGATCCCTGAGATTTGTGATACGTTTGAATAGTTTCTTCTCCATAAATATCGAGATCACAAAATGGATTGATAGCCACTAAGACAATACCACACCACGTGTATATCGCTGACTGATCCAGAAACCGGACTCGAAGATTGTGTAACACTATTTAAAATATTATGTTTAAAATTCAATTTATTAATTATAATATTATGTTTGGTTTAAGACAAATGTGTATAATGACAGACCCGCCGGTTCGTGAAGATATGAAAGACTTGTCAGATCATTGGCACCGATCAATATGTCAGGATTTCGCAGCGGTGGTAATGATGACAAATCTTTTATTTGTAAACTTATTTCCTAAATATCAAATCAACTATTAATGAATGTCTTAATATATAACATCTGTTTGATGGCAAACCTGTAGGTCTTCATCCTCGACAATCAGACTTTTGTCCGATTGATTGAAATTGATTTTAATGGTAACGCATTGCCAAACTTCGGTCGTATGTTTAGTCCATATTTTGGATCCCTTTATAATCAGATATTTTAGTTTGTAATTCAATCGTTTGATTATCATTTAAGACAAACCTTTGTATATAACTCAGGAAACACTGAATTCATTTTTAAAAAATATTATTATTTTATTAAATCACTAAATAATCATAAAGTCATGTCTTTAATCAAAATAATAACAAATAGTTTATTAAATTTGATAAACAATTATATTAATTGATACAATAATTAATATCAAAATATCATATATTCCTATATTGAATATCACATTCAAATATTTCAATACATTTTTTAAAAGTTATACTTAAAAAGGAAATTCACTTTTTATATAAAAAAATATATAGTTTTGTCGCAAAAAAATATCAATTAATAATGAATTCAAATAATGATTAATTATTTTAGATAATTAATTAATTAAAATTTATCACTTTTTATAACTAATAATTATATTATAACATTTTGAATGTAAATATGGGAATGTATTGATGTATTTGATTAATATATTGATAATAAATAATATAAATAATTAACAGATTGTTTGATTAACTCAAATCAAGTGACAACACCTCATAATATATTGTATTAATAACTAATTGAAACATAACTTTATATTAAGACAACATTTGGTGAATTGAATTCAATGTTTTTGATTAATACATATAATTAGTCATATGTTTGCAATTATTAAGTGTTAACACAATTATTAGTCAATCATATTATATATTATTATATTAATTGATTTGTATTTAAATAACATATGATATGACATAATGTTGTGTTTGATTCACACAGTTGTCTGAATCACAACCAAAACAAACACTTGCAGTGAGTATTGGCTTACAGTCTGTAGTCATCAATGATGTTATCATTTAAGACATAATGTAAACACAAATACATTTAAATCCTAACCATCGCTACAATCGGGTCTCAAATGATGACAGAGTTTGGCTTTAAATGGCATTCAATGCATACGTTAATCAATGCTTTAAATAAATTATAATATTTAGTCATTTATATGTTATAATAATAATTGATTTCAATTTTATACATTTTATTTTGAAAATAATAAAATTGTTTATAAAAAATAACTTTATTTTAATATTTAATTCATTAATAATTGAATTACAGTTTACTTTGTTTTTTAATTGAATTAATTCTTGAGTTGATATGACTTAAAATCAGTTTATTATTAACCGATTCAACAACTGATGGTTTATGGCATCAAATACGAGGTCTTACAGCATATAATCGATTGTCATAAACAATGGATGGATGGTATGTGTCGACCATTATTACGATACAAACCAATTGATGATTGTTTGCAAATTAATTGACATTTATTTCAAATATTATGACAGAAAATGAATAAAATATTGCATTTTTATAACAATCAATAGACAACATTAATATTACAATACAGTATAATCCATACTTTAATAAAAAATGATATAAATTTATAATACAATTAAAAAAACAATAATTTATAATAAATTGTTAACAAACTTATTAAAAAAGTTTTGATACATAAAAATAAAACACATTGTTGACAAATATTTTACTAATTTTAAGGAAAATATTGGTAAATCTATATTTTAAATCAATAATTTCACATATGATGGCAAATATTTGTTAACAATGCCTTTTTGGTAATTTTGTTTCAAAAACAATTTCGTGTTATAATAAATATAATGATTTCATGAATATGTTATATAAATACATAATTATATATATACTTTACATATAGTGTATACTGAATAATAAATTCAATTATTTACTCGGATTCTTACAATTTATTTGAAAATCAATGTTATCGATGCATATAATTATTACAAGTAATACAGTATTAAATATATTAAAATTTAAAATTTATTTTTTAATGAGTTATAAAAGATAATAAATACAATTAAATTAAATTAATGTATATTTATACAAATGTATAATAAAATGTGATTAATACAAAATAGTCTTAATATGGTTTTATGGTTTAGTTTTAAATGTGAATCATTTAATCTGGAAATTAGTTAAATAGTAATACTTTTGTGTTAAAAACCTTTGTTTGAACTCTAGAACAATATTTTGACATTTAATTATAAATATATGAAATAATTTAATAAATAAAAACTTGTTTATAGTGTAAGTATATTTGAAAATTAATTACTTAATAATTTATTTGAGTCTTTGTTAAAAAATGTCAACAAATATAAAGAAAGCAAATGTGATGATAATATAGTATAAGTTAAGTCACTTTATATATTTCATTTGGCCTTAAATGTGACAAAATGTCACAAACATTGGTTACTATTGTCTTTTACTGCCAGTGAAAGACCCCCCAAATCACACATTACTTATACAGGGATTTCAGTTGAATGGGTTTGAACTGAATATGATGTGTCAGTAAAGTACTAAACGTACTATTATTTAGACAAAGACTTACTTTTGTTAAATTAGTTTAGAAATATTTGTTGAAATATCTACAATAGTGTTAATTATTTTAATTAAATGTTTTGATATTTGATAATATAGTTAATTATAATAAAGTTTGTTAAATGTATTAAAGAGATGTAAATTCATGGTTGAGCGCACTGGGGAACTACCCCCCAGGCCCTGCCCATGCCCTCCTTTTGTCCCATAGGACACGGCGAGGAGTTAGTTCCGCAAACATATATCAAATAATGATTAAATCAATCATTAGTTAATGACAATTAATAATATTACTTACAATCCTATCAAACATTATTATATCCAATCGCTTAATAAATAATTATTGCAATCATTAATGTTTATAAAAAATAAAAATCTTCTTATTTTATAAATTGCTTAAATTTCATCAAATGAATAGCTATGAAAATCGTTGCATAAAATGTTTTAAAAATATTATAAATAGTTTGAGAGATAGCCGTAATAAACGACTTGAAAATAATGGCTTTTTATCTTTAAAATTGTTATATATTTTTCCTATAGAAACATATCTTATTTAAAGAGCACTTATATATTCTCTAAGAAATTCATATTTTAAACATTATATAGTAGTATAACATTATATATTTTATACAATATATATACAGTATAAAAGTATCATTGATAAGCAATAACCTCTATTTTATTGATCCATTATTTGGTGAATTTGCGCAAAACTCTAAATCTTTATAAAACAGCACAAAGTTTGCACATTAAAGCTGTTTTGTATATGATTTCAAACTTCATGGCATTAGTCATATAAATGGTTAAAATTGTAGTACAATATTAATCATTGTTTTTAGTTGCAATACAGTAGCAATTTTCAATTAAATATTAAACACAAAATTAATAAAAAAAATAAATGATACTAAATGAGAAATTCAAAATTTAGAAATAAATATATCATTTAATAAAAAATTTACTTATTATAAATTAATATCACACTCATATTATTTACAAATATTAATGATAATACATATAATGAGATACATATTTTGTACTTATGAAATATTCAATTCAATTATCATAGTTAATACAAACTCAATATCAAATTGCTTAATTACAATAAATTTAATATATCACTTATATAAAAATTAATAATAAAAAATATTAACATTATAAAACTATCTAAAATAAAGTAATCAAAAAATGTTTTATTAATTCTACAAATAATGAACAATAATATCTAATTAGTTTACTTTGTATTAAATCTAATAATAACAGCAAATCAATAGATAATATGCTGTATTGAGTTGAATAAACTTTGAGTATAATGTTATATAACATTTGCATATACTTGAGCATTGGTAGTGACATTGGACTAGTAGTGGACATATGGACTGTAAGAGTTGTAAGCAGTTGTTGTCAAGAGATCATCTAATAGTCATTAATGGTTGCAATTGCAGACACACACACACAATCTCTCTCTCTCTCACCACTCACTCACTCTCTCATGAATATACGTTTTCAGACGACGGAAGTGAGAAATGTCGATAAGTAATGAACTCTTCGGGATCGGGAACTTGACTCTTAAGTGGGCGTCTCTTCTTTGAGCGGTACTTATAGACAATAACTAATACACACACTGTTATCATTAGTATGATTACTACTAAGACAACAATAGAGGCTATTATTTGTATTGTTGAAAGTGATATAACATCTCTCTTAGACAAAGTGCGTACCTATTTGTGAACACAATAATACAGATAGTGTTTACAATCATGTAATCAAAGTTTAATAAGTTTGGGCAAAGCATTTGATAAAACTGTTCCCACTTTAATGTTTCCTCTATTATAAGTTATCATTAGTTTGTATTATAGGCTTATTATAAAATGTTATCATCACTTACTTGTGAGCACTTTCTATTAGCAGCAAAATATTGAGAAGCATTCAAATGGTTAACATTGATTAACATGGGTTTCATAGAGCTATGTATGTCTTGTGTGTGATATTTGCCATTTGCCTGAACGCAAAACATGTACCAGTTTTCTGGCATCAGATCCCTAATGTCAAGTTGTCTTTGTGATGGACCCAATAGTTTGAGTGCCATCGGAGTGATGTTATTGGCTAAGTTAGAGTAATGCTCGAGAGTAAAACCATCGACAAGTGTGTCGTTATGTACTTCCCATTTGATACTGACTTGAGTTGAGTCCAATTTACTTATTTTCATCACAGATATTATAGGAACGGGACAGAAGTCACCAACACTTAGACTCAATAGTGAGTTATGTTTGAGTGATTGTGGTTCAGAGCATAACATATCCTGTCTATCATCCAAAGCAAGCAATCGGGAGTGAGTTTCAAGCCATTCATAGATCGATAATAGTCTACAATCACAGTGGAAGGGGTTGTTATCGAGATATAGGGACTGCAGTTGAGTATTATGTTTGAAAAGCTGTGAGTCTATAGCTTTTAATTGATTGAATGATAAATCAAGTGTTAATAAGTACTGCAAAGTGTCAAATGTGTTCATCTCTATTGATTCAATGGAGTTGTGTTGCATAAACACCACTGAAAGACTGGAACAGTTGACAAACGTCTTATTCGTTAGTTTTGACAATTTATTATGCGATACAAACACTTCTCTAATACCAATCAGATTCAGTAATGCCATTGATTTTAATTCATTATTACTTAAGTCTATACTTCGCAAGGCTTTCATGTTATTCAAGTCAATACCAGTTAATTCATTGAAACTTAAGTCTAGAGTCTCTAAATCCAAGAGATGTCCAAAAATAGATGAATCGCTTAAATCAGTTAATCTATTGTTAGCTACTGAAAGGCTAACTAATTTAGGAGTAGTTTTAAATGATAGGGAATCCAAACGCTTGATTCGGTTAGAGTGTAGATCTAGACTCCTAAGGGATAACAATCGGGTGGACCCGTCGTCCGGTAATTCAGTTATTCGGTTTGATTGCAGTTTTAATGATACGAGTGCTTTGAGGCGACGGATGGCTTGTAAGGGGAAGCGGTCTATCAGGTTGTTAGTCAATACCAACTCTATTAATGTCTTTTCCAGACCTCTCAATGAAAACTCTAATAAACTATTGATTTCATTTGACTGTAGGTTTAGACTGACCAGAGGTAACCCATAGAAAGCATATGCATCTACTTCTTCAATCTTATTTGATCCCAAGTCTAAAGCTGTCAAACTCTTCAGTATAGAAAGCGCTGTCTTTGGGATTCTTTTCAGTTTACTATTTACTAAACTTAATGTCTTAAGACTTGTTTCTAAACCTTCAAATGACTCGACCGACACATTCACCAGAGATGACAATGAGATATACATCTGTTCTATGGTTGAAAAATTATCAAATAGTTTGTCAGGCAATGCATCCAATGATTCATTAATGGAATGTACGCTAAAAGACTTAATCGGTAGTGAAATCAATAGTTTTAAGTCATCTCTTATCTCTTTATATGAAGTTATTTTGCAGTCTATAAGAAATGCGTCGTCCAATGGATAGCACGAGCACTGAGACTCTCGGCCTAAAACATGACATCCATTGGTTTCATTGGCTATCAATGGTAAGGCTTTTCTATCATCACTTGAATTGACTGAATCTATGGACTCAATATCTGCAACAGATATGCTTTCAGATAAAACAAGAGCTTTTGATACAAACGGTTTGTATTGTATTTGGGAAGTGTTGGCACTGTTGCCGCTCTGCCAATCATTGGCTTTATTTATAGGTGTCTGTCCTGACTGCCACTCCACACATAAGACTAGATAATTGGTTAGCAAAACAATTGCCAAAGAGCTTAACGATAATGACAGTGACTGCCAACACAACCGAGTCATTTGACATCAATTGACTTCATTTCACTACTCATTCATAGCATTTCTGTTAAGAAAAATTAATAATAAACTAATCAATACTTATAACTATTCAACCAATAGTGAGACCCCCTCTTCAGGGGGACATCGGGTCGATCATTGCATAGCAGTTGGATAGCAATCATATCAACCAATGTATTATTGATCATCATTTTGAACGCCATTTTAAGGTCAGTCAACAAAAAAAGGACATCAAATGCAAGCTTTATATCATTGAAAACCAGACAAACCAGTCATACGTGTCATACCAGACATACCACACCATTGCAGTCAAGAGAAAACTCTTTCACATAACTGTGCCATTCATTGGCTATTATAACACAATTACTGTAAAATCAAATAATACTCATTTCAATCACTACTCTAATGTAATAATAAATAATAATATAATTAAAAATAAATCAATTCATTAACAAAAATACATTGAATTAAATTACATTACATTCAAACATACAAACACTGGATCTCAACAAATACTCTGACAGTACTCACCATTTAGTTGTCATTAAAGACATTGCCATTCAAGACATGGCTTCAAATAGTAAACACTTTGTCCACCAAATGGACACCAAATCAATGGATCAATCAATTGGTTATAAACTAAGTGCGCAGTTATGACACAAATAATAATAACAACGAAAACATCAAAACCAATGCAAACATTGACTACAGTTTTAGACCCAAACTCTACGCAGTTTTCTTCAAACACTCGCTTATATAGACTGACAACATATGACGTCATCAAACATAACATCCAATCGTATGACTATTACATTGAAGACGCAGTCAAACACACATAATATTGACATACATTACATACATATATAGTAGGGATCGGAAAATTCCATCCATCGTTTTAATTACCAAAAGTACCACATTTTCCCGGGAATTCATAGTCAATCTATTTCATTGCGCTATCACTTATTCAAATATAAACAACAAATTTATGAAAAATATGTAATTTTTGATACTATTTATTGTAAAATATAAAATATAATTCCTTTCTAACAATGATAGGGGAGTGAAAATAAAATATATATCATATTTTCCGAGAAAATTGGAGGCATTTTATTAGGAAATATCCCTCCTTTGGAAAGTTGCCGAACCCTACATACATATAGAGTCAGTGAATAAGGAATGCATTGTAAAAATAAAACAACAAAAAAGCCTTAAAACGTTTAAATGGCGTTCAAATGGATTTCAAAATTGAAATGATTTTAAAAATAGAAAAATCATTGAAAAAAATGCCAAAAATATGTAAATCTATTCATAGTATTGAATATATATTTTTAGACATTAGTCTACTATTTGTGTGATTTTAAGTGTATATTGAGTTTGCGTTCAATTTGTTTGCACTGTTGTGTCAAATGAGTGTTCGATAAGACATTCCTATGAAATGTAATGAATATTTGAAAAACAATTTAATGTATGAAATGCTATGAATAGTAAAGACAGATAAATATATCACTTGTATTGCATTACATATACAGTAGTCAAGTATTGAAGACTATTGTATACTATTGTATGTATAGTCCAATCAAATTGTTTGTTGTTTATATCGATCACAACATTCACTACATTAGCGATCAATACGTATGACTGTATATAATATAACTGTTGACAAACATTACTAAATATAGTCAACATTTAATTATTATTTATTTTTATACAATTATTTTTTTAAAAAAAATATTTATTTAATAAACAATTGAGTTTTGATTTCAAATAACAAACAAATGTTTGAATAAATAAAAAATGAAGGAAATTGACGACAATTATTGGGTCAATAGTATAGTTTAGGTCATCACTGTTGCCATACATTCAAACAATTGACTGTTTTCTACATTTAATTATATAATTATATAAGTATTATATGATATATAGTATACTATTATTTAATATAATGATTAATATTTACAATCATATTAGTAATTGTCTAAATTAATAACTATTTATATTAATCTAATTAAAATAGTATTAATATTAAATACAGAAATACATTATTGTAAACATATTATTATTTTTTGTTAATGTTATGTACGGACTGACTCCTCTTTTAAATGTATTGTTAGTTTTAATATAATATATAATTTTATGTATTTAATTAAATTAACAATTTGTTACCAAAATATACTGATAACTAAAATTTATTAATGATTTTGTTTGGATTTCAAAAAAATAATTATCATTTTTAAAGTACACAAAACAATAACAAACAAACATTTATCATATTTTAAGTTTAAATTTTTAACGTAAAAAAGTTATATTGTTTGCTAATTTATATATATATAATATTTCTATATATTAATATTTATGTTTAATATTTCTATAACACTAACTGTTAATATACAGTACTTACTACAGTACTATATAATAAATAATAAGTTAATTACAATTTATAATATACATATATTTTTAGTATGTAAATATATAAAAGTTATTTTACTTAAACTAATAATAAATAGTTATAAATAAATTGAAAATACTTTCCCATAATTTAAACTTTCCTAGAATATCGGTATCAATCAAATAACCCCTCCAAACCCTTTTATCACATTTTATAACCCAAAAATATGCTTTTAAAATATTGTTTCACACAAACACAATACACTATCAATATATACACAAAAAGATAGATTTACTAGAAATAGACCTCCCATTGAAATGTGGGTCAAACTGACCTATCAATGGTAAGGCATACAATACTATACACACAAACACTATATAAATGTGGGTCAAAACTGATCCAGGACAGTCCAGTTGGTACAGTCAAAAACATTGTATACATTAAGACATTATAATCAGTCTATGCTTATAGACAATAGTTTATGAAAATTGTATACTTTATCTATGCTTATAGATATCATTTAATTTTAATGTTCACAAAAATGTATTTTTCTTAAATAAGTTTTAAAATAAAGTTTTAATCAAATTATACACTAATCGACTGCAATTGATTTTTAAGTTTCATTTAAACTAATCATACAAACCATAGCCTATCCAATTCACGGCACGACACTAGTCGGCAGGATAGTAATCCCGATCCCATTAATGAATTTAAAAGTTATATCAAGTGTTAGTATTATTATTATTGTGTTAACTACAAGTTGCATAGTAAGCGCCGGTATCTTCAGCAAACTCTACAGTATTGGTAAAAAACTAGTTGTGCCCACTGTTACCGTCGACTTGACAATCAGATCGGCAGAAGAAATAGTGAAAGTGTTGAACAAAAGTGAAAAACCAATTGACGACCAAACAATCGCCGCAATCATCGCTTTATTGAAAAATGGCACCAAAGAGAAGCAAACGCCGAACAGCACAACCAACACCAACACCACAAGTAGATAATCTCATCACAACATCAATAAGACAACCACCGCCTGACACTGATCAACCAACCGATGCCAGGACTCGTCCCGAACAACCATTTGTGGACATTGATGACTCGTCCGACACGGAAATCTACGACACATCGCATCTCAAGACATCTAACAGTAAGCCTAAAATTCAGGTTTATAAGGGTTCAGGAGATAAAATCTCAATAGAAAACTGGTTAAAACGCTACGAAATGCTAGCAAAATACTATAAATGGTCTGACAATGATAGAGCTATACTATTGGGTAATCATCTCGAAGATGATGCACTCAATTGGTATATCGAAAATTTCGATAATCAAAGCTATGAATCTATTAAAAGTAAACTATTGTACAGATTCGGTATAGAATCTATTGAACCAATTGTTGAATTTGTTAACTTAAAATACAATGTAAGCCAAGGCATTAAAGAGTACTTTGAAGCAAAGCGACGCTTAGGTGTAGCGGCAAAACTAACCGAAAGCCAAATGATTCCTCTTATGATTCATAATTTACACCCAAAAATGGTTGAATGTTTTACTGCTGTAAAACCTCAAACATTTGCAAATTTTTACGAAATTGCCAAAACTTCTGAAAATAATTTAAAGCGATTCCAAACAGTTCCGAAACCAAATTATGTGTCAAACAAACCTAACGCTAAGCAAAAATATGAGCCAAACTCGAATAAAACCAAACGTAAGCCTCAATCTCCTTGTTTTATATGTGAAAAACTAGGGTTTAAAGGTCGGTATCACTGGTCAAATGATTGCCGAAACAAAGGCAAACCTAATAATACAAACATAACAGATGCTAAAAACATTAATAATACCGAAATTAGTAACTCTGAGTCTATCGAAAATGATATAAACTCTATTCATTTAAACTAATTAAGAGACTTAATCATACAAACCTAATCAAAATTTACGCTATTATTAATACAAAAATATTTCAAATTATTTTTGATCCCGGAGCTAATGTTAGCATCATTAGTGATACAATAGTAAAACAATTAAAACTTTCATACATTAATCAAATAACTCAATTTAAAACAATTAATAACTCAAATATTTGCTTAGGTCTCGTTAAAATCACACTAACAATAGGCTCAATCATACATGAATGTACAGTATATGTAATACAAAATTCAAATCATAATTTTTTATTAGGATTAGACTTAATTAATAAATTTAATTTACATATGAATTTAAAATATCAAATAATACAAACCATAGTAAACGGTAATATGACTCAAACAGATGAGATCATATCAAACTACAGCGATATTAATAAATTTAACACTAAAAATATTGATATAAATTATTATCAAAAAAATAATACAAACAATAATTTCAATTATTTTAATAAATATCACATAAATACAAATGAGGTGCTTATCTCAAATAATCTTAATAGTGATCAACAAAACGAATTGCATGCAATATTAAACAAATATTCACATATATTTTCAAATGATAAATATGACATAGGATTAATAAACACCGAAAAATGCACTATTAATATAACAAACAATGTACCCATAAATTTACGGCCATATCGGTGCTCACCGATAGATCAAAAAGTAATTGACGAACAAATCGAAAAACTTTTAGAAAAGGGATTGATTAGGAAAAGTGTCAGTCCTTATAGTTTTCCTATTACTCTCGCCTATAAAAGAGATGAGGGAACAAAAAGCCGGCTAACTATTGATTATAGGAAACTAAATAAGCTAACAATTCCCGACAATTTCCCATTCCCGTTATTTAGCGATATTGTTGATAAACTAATAAATTGTGAATATTTTACTACACTAGATATAACTAGTGGTTTTTGGCACGTTAGGGTTGACCAAAAAGACATTCATAAGACAGCCTTTGTCACTACTAACCAACACTACGAGTGGTTATCAATGCCATTCGGTTTTAGAAACTCTCCGATGATATTTCAGAGAGTTATCCAAAATATACTAATAAAGCATAACCTAAATAATTTTGCGCACAATTATTTAGATGATATTATCATACATTCAATGACATTAACAGAACATTTACAACATTTAGATATGTCTCTTAAAGCATTACAAAGTGAAAACATTAAACTAAAATTAACAAAATGTAAATTTGCTCAAAATAAGGTCAAGTACCTGGGTCATTACATTAGTAAAAATAAATACATGCCAATTAATGACAATTTAATTGCAATAAACAATTTTCCTAAACCTAATACAATAAAACAATTACAACAATTTTTAGGAAAAATTAATTTTTATCATAAATTCATACCAAATGCATGCAAACAACTCAACCCATTATACAGTTTACTCAAAAAAGAAAATAAATTCATTTGGGATCAGACTTGTGAGCAATCATTCAATTGGGTTAAAACATATTTAACTAACAAACCAGTACTAGCTATCTATGATCCAAACAAAGAGTGTATACTCTATACAGACGCCAGCAAAATATGAACCGGAGCTGTACTCAAGCAAATGCAAATTAACGGAAAACTTCACCCGATAGGTTACTTTTCCAGAAAACTACTCAATTATCAAAAAAATTATAATGTTTCAGAGCTCGAATGCCTAGCATTAGTCCAATCGCTTGACTATTGGCACCATTACCTCTATGGCAATAAAGTAATAGTTTACTCAGACCATAACCCATTGAAATGGTTAAACTCAATAAAAAAACCTTCAACACGACTATTCAATTGGGCTCTAAGGATAGGTCAATATAATCCTGATGTCAGGTATATTACCGGTAAAACAAATATCGGAGCCGACCTATTGAGTAGGAACCCAGTATTGGAAGGCAATGACAAATACAGTACAACTAAGTTTCTCAATCTATTAGAGTTATCGAATAGTTGCCAATCATTACCGATAAATGTAATAAATATCGATGAGATTATTAAATATCAAATCCAATTAAATAATATTATACCAAAACATTGTATATTGGAAAACAATATAATAATTAGACAAAAAGCGGATACTAAACGTATATACATACCTGATCCGTTAATACCTAAGCTATTAAACAATATTCACATAAATTATGGTCATATTGGCGCTCATGCAATGACACAATTGGTTTGCAGTGCTTATTATTTTAAAAATATACATAATTGTATTATTGATTATTTAAATAAATGCTTAGTTTGCCAATCAAATAAAATAAATAAAAAACAAAAGTTAGGATCTCTGTCCCAAATAGGACCGGCACAGCAACCATTTGACATCATATCAATTGATACAGTCGGTGGTTTAGCCGGGTATAACTCTAAAAAACAATATATACATGTTGCTATAGATAACTTTAGTCGCTTTTTATGGACAGCCGCTTCAAGTACTCAAAGTGCTAAGGATTTTATCCAATTAATAAAAAATGTTTGCCAAACATATACACCTAAATTAATTCTAGCCGACAGGTATACTGGTATAAAAAGTAATGAATTTTGCAATTATCTAGAAAAACAAAAAATAAAAATTATGTTCATTACTACTAACTGTCCGCAATCTAATGGGTTGTGTGAACGGATGAACCAAACCTTAGTTACCAGACTTCGGTGTAAAATTAATGACAACAATCAGCATAATTGTTGGCCAAAACTACTTAATCAATGTACACACGAATACAATAATACAATACACTCAGTAACACAATATACACCTAATTATTTGTTATTTGGGGTAAAACCCTTTGACCACTATATGTATGGATCCGATATTACTGTGGAAAAAGCCCGAGAAATAGCATTAAAAAATTCATCTAATAGTCATCTAATTAACAAATTATATTACGATAAATATCATAACCCTTTCGAATTTAAAGTAGGAGATCAAGTATTAGTTGATTACAAAAATAACATTTCCCGTAAAAAGTTAGATCCACTAATGTGTGGGCCATACAAAGTGGTGAAAAAATTATCAAATATTTCTTATGTACTAAATTGTGGTAAAAAGGGTAAGAGTACCGATATCTATCATATTTCTAAACTTAGGCCATACATACCCGAAGGAATATCATAAAAGCCGGGGATGTAAATATATAAAAGTTATTTTACTTAAACTAATAATAAATAGTTATAAATAAATTGAAAATACTTTCCCATAATTTAAACTTTCCTAGAATATCGGTATCAATCAAATAACCCCTCCAAACCCTTTTATCACATTTTATAACCCAAAAATATGCTTTTAAAATATTGTTTCACACAAACACAATACACTATCAATATATACACAAAAAGATAGATTTACTAGAAATAGACCTCCCATTGAAATGTGGGTCAAACTGACCTATCAATGGTAAGGCATACAATACTATACACACAAACACTATATAAATGTGGGTCAAAACTGATCCAGGACAGTCCAGTTGGTACAGTCAAAAACATTGTATACATTAAGACATTATAATCAGTCTATGCTTATAGACAATAGTTTATGAAAATTGTATACTTTATCTATGCTTATAGATATCATTTAATTTTAATGTTCACAAAAATGTATTTTTCTTAAATAAGTTTTAAAATAAAGTTTTAATCAAATTATACACTAATCGACTGCAATTGATTTTTAAGTTTCATTTAAACTAATCATACAAACCATAGCCTATCCAATTCACGGCACGACAAGTAATTGAGTTAATTGACTATTTTGTAACTTACAAAATAGTCAATTAACTCAATTATTGGTATATTTAATGAAAAATTGTCAATAAATTAATTAGACATTAAAAATACAACAATAGTTATGCCATCAATATTGTATCAAATTAATCAAGTTTCAATTGTAGTTATATTAAATAACTAAATTAATTCATACATTTTAATTATTAAATACACTTATTTTTATTATTAGATATTATTTTAGAAATTATTTATTATTGCAATAATATGTGAAAAAGTAACACTTAATAAAGTCATGTAATATTAGTTAAAGACATTTATAAAACACTATCATATAGTAAATTGTTTAATATATACAAACAATTTATTTCTGGTATTAAAAATATTTATTTTAATTTATATATTTTTCTATTTTTTAATACATCTTTAACTTTAACTTTAATGCCTCCTTAGCTCGTTAGAAAGGAAAATATATTTCTACAATAAATAATATCAAAACTTGATTTTTTTGCATAAAATTTAATTGAAATATTTAAAAATAAATTAGAATTTAATGAATTAAGTAATACTAATTAACAATAACACTCAAAATATAGTTTAATACAACATTTGTTTTTCAAATCTTATAATAAAATTCGTTGTCTATGATTCAATAGGTGGTAGCAAAAGGAAATAGATTCCCTGGGAATTCCCAGTGAGCAGAAAAAAGTGAACTTTTGGAATATAAGACGAGGGAGGGAATTTTCCCGAACCATAATTATAATATAAATAATATATAGTATTCTAGTCTATTGTATTATATAAATTCGAAATCTTATATTTACTAAAACAGCTATTATTATTGAATACGATTAATAATATATCAGAATCTAACAAATTTTTAATGATATATTTATTATACTGTATTTGTAATATTAGTTGAATTAAGATAAGAGATCCCTTTAGGGAGTAATGAATGTAAATTTTTAGTTAAAAAAATTATTGCATAATTAGATATACTGTATATATATATATATCAAGTTTAAAATTAAACTAATAATTAATTATAACGATAATTGAATTGCATTTAATGAGGTGTAGATTGAAATACAATGACTAATAGCTCATCAAATATATCCTTTTGTATGAATACATTACATTGAAAAGAAAATACCGAATTACCTAACATTATATAACACAATGTATTAATTTATATAAATAATGTTAATTTATATACAGTTGAGTTTAATTATAGTCTTAAACTATTGATATAAATATAATAGTGTCTAATAAGTAATTGATATGCTTAAACATTTTTATAAAATAGCATATTTAATCGACAATAATTTTGTTGAGTTTTTTTTATAAAGATTTCAATTGACTCGATTGGTATTATTTTTAAAAAAAAAAATTATTAGTGATTTGAGTATAATTTGTTTTTAATTCTTAGCGTAATTAATAGTGAAATGTAATGATTAATGACATAAATTTAATACCAGTTAAAGTATATTTTATCTATCTAAAGTTACATAATTTTATTATAAACAATTAATTAATTATACCGTATATCGCAATACATAAGTTATGTAACATAACTATACAAGAAAATACGGTAAGTGTGATGTACTGTACTTTTCAAACATTGTACAGTATTATACAGAACTTACATAAAATGTCATTAATCATTTGAAACAATAAGCAAAATATGAATATATATATATATATATAAATTTATATAAATAAATGTATACATATACAGTATTATTATAAAAATGAATAATCATTTTCTGTATAAGTTATATACGGTATATAAGTATAACTGGCAGTCGATTAAAAAGAATTTGTATAATATTAAATATTAAATATATATAATTTATAAATTGAACTAGCTTATTTATAACTAACAAATATGCTAGATTAGTATAGATTATATGGTATACATATATTATATTTTAAGCAGAATATCAAATTGCAAGACAATAACATTTTATTACATATATTTTTTTAGTAGTTTATATAATTTGACATACAATACAATTTTTTATAACAATTTTTCATTTTTTACAAAACATTAATAATGGTTTGATTAATAATAAACAATACATAATTAGTTATTATATTAATATACTATAGTTGTATATTTTGATAAGTGCTAATAAAAATAATAATTTTTATTTATTGTTTGTTAAGTTGTCTGATGTCTTGTAATGACAAGTCGATGACTGATGATATGGTTCACGAGACATGAAGTCAGTGTTTGCTTGAGTCAATCGATCGGATTGTAACTGCATATTAGGCGCACCCGTAGGTACAACCATCTGGTCGTATTCAACGACTTTTATTCTGCAATTCATTTGAAATTATAATTTAATAGACTGTATATACACTGTGTATTCACTAGTAGTGTGATATGTTTGAGACATTAAAATACAAACCCAAAGCATTTGAGAACAATAGATTTAATCCAGGGATATATTTTGAATTCAGTGATTCCGGGAAATAATCCGGGATTTACAGCTCCCATGTAATACCAGAGCAGTAAGAGTGCTATAAATGATGATAAAGCATATCCCCATTGAACCAAAAACATTATAACCACTTTAATTATGGCACCAAATATTATAATCCATCGGTTTATAAGACATGAATACCAAATATTTTGTTTCCCTTTGATTTCATTTGGATCTACTTTTAACTCGTGAGCCATAGAACTATCAGTGCTATCATAGGACTCATCAGCACTACTGGTGCCACTCTGATCATGTAATAGTTCTCTTTGTGGATCAGGTGTGTGATCTATAGATGACGACCTACTGCTGCTCTGACTGCTTATCTGTCGTTTTACTTTAATATGTTTTGTTTGAACTCTTTCAGGAAACAGTTTGTCCAAATCGTTACTCTATTTATTGACAATATTTTTTAAATAAATATATATATATTTAATATCTTTGATAAATACTTTAACTGATCCATAGTCTGAATGCTTTGATTTTTTACTTTTGTCAAATGTAGGACTTGTACAATAAGCCGATGCCATAAATCTAGATTCTCTATGAATTTGTATATCAAAAGTCATAGCCAGCGAAAAATATGCGTACTCTACGGTTGCATAAGTCATTAGGTATGGTATGGTGACAATTGGCGCCAACATATTGATGTTACCAATCATTATAAATACCAGAGTGACCAATGAAAATAGTATTAAAGCATAGATTGGTACTATATATATATAATACATAAATATAAATAATAATATAATAATAATACATAATATATAAATAATAGTTTACACTCAAATATTCTTTAATAAAAAACATGCCTTTATTAGGTCCGCGTCCAATGCCTAAACATTTAAAAGGTATTATGTTTTCATTAGCAATATTCTGTATAATACGTGGTGTGGCATACAATGAGCCTAAACTATAAGATAATGACGATATATAGAGTCCAAGTAATAGGAATATTCCGACTGATGAAGCCTTTTGTGCGATTGTATAGTCAGTGAGTAGGGATGACCGGACACATGTGGCTATAAATAATTAAATACATACTATTATATAATGTAAATTCTAGCTATACATTAAATTGCAAGTATACACACCTCCCAATCCCAATACAAATGCCAAATATAATAAAATACAAGTTCCGATTGCACTGAAAGTTCCTATTGGTATACTATTGTTAGGCTTATAGAGATCTCCACTCATATTAATACCGGCCATAACACCCGTAACCGCGGGAAAGAAAACTCCAAATACATTGAATAAACTTAATTTTGGTTTGTCTTTATTTGGTTCCCAATTTTCTTTAATATTGTCAATACTAAAACCAATGACACCATTACCTTTATAATTGATATTTAATTAAAATTTTGTTCAATAAAATAATATGAAATAATTAATACTTGGATCATATCTGATCATAACTCCAATGATAAAATCAATGGCAGAAAGAAATAGAAAAAATAAGAGAATAAATTGCAAACGGATAACCCATTTGACGCCCAATATGTTGATAACCATTAACAGTAGTACCAGAGCGGCACCGATACCTCTTTCAATCCAAATTTCATCATTTTTCAAGAATTGAGAAAATGTTTCGGCAAAACCCATAACATGTAGAGCACAGGAAACGGCCTATTCATTGAAATTAATTGATTATATTTTACGTATTTTTATAAACAATTTATCATAATTTGAATTTGATATATAAATATTTTATAATTTCTAACTTTGAAAATCAATATTACAAAAAAAGATTATTAATTTTTTTTAATATTATTTGTTTACTATTATATTATTATATAAAATATTAGAACAAATATCGATACTATTTTAATATAATTACTATAATTGATTTTTAAAATTATTTTTTATAGTTAAAAAGTTATTATTTTATATAATGGAATTTACATAACAAATCACTTATAGCTATTTGTTTATAATTTTGTTTATACTATTTTAATTAAATTAAGTCATATATTAATAATAAGTTATGTAATATAATTTCTAGTCAAACAATATCACTATTTATACCTTTTAAATCATTTAAATAAATTGTTAAATTGTATGAAAAATGACATACGTGTCCAAAGCTGTATATAATACTGACTGACCCACCAATTCTAGATCCGAGAACATTTGATATCAAGACGTGGACATTACCGCTGCCGTGTCTCTCAAATATGCCAATAGCGGCCAATGCGGCCAATGAACAGATGAAAACACTGCTTAATATTATTAATATTGAATAACCAATGCCAGCATTTCCCTAAATTTTTATTTTACGCTATAATTAATGTCAGTTAAGTAAAGTTTTTAAAAATTAAATAATCTCAACTTTCAGTCAAATTAATAAATTATATTATATTTTTAAATTATTATTAAAACTCTTAATCTAATCTAATTTGATTCAATTTAATTATATTAATATTAATTCTTATAATGATGACTTGTGTTGTAAGGATTATTATAAAAACATTTATTATCTTATAAAAATATAAAATATATTTAGTTGACAATAGCCTAGCATTGCCAAACTAAATTCTGGTAAGATCTTAAATTAAAAAATAATGTTATATAATTTTGCTATTTTATAGTAAATAGCTTAACATTCAACATTGAATTCATATATCATAATTTATAACTATGACCTGAATACCAATTTTTTAAACTTTGTCGGCCATTTTGACCACATGTTGATTATGAAATCGGACATTACATTATCAGACAATCCTATTTTACTAAATATTTCTATATATTATATGTCCAATAATTCATATTTAATCAAAAATTAAAAAATGCAATACAATATACCGGTAGTATAATAAAATATTTATTATATTATATTATATATTTGATGCATACAATTTACAATATACTATACAATAGCTATGTACAGTACAATAATACAATTAAATATAGTACTACTGTATATAACTTATATTAATACAGTATATTAAGAGTAAACTATACTAATAGAATAATTACAATATTATTATTGATATACTGATTATTGTTTATATAAATAATTTACATATACATAGAATTTGTAATACATATACTGTTTTGCATTTTTATATTTTGTAGTGCAAATATAGTAATTAAAAATAAATTATATGATAATTAGCATTTATATTTATATTAATACAAGAATATAAATTAATTATAAACAAAATAGCAATTTTTTAGTTAAGCAATGATATATTCATATTAAAATTCCTAATTACTCTAAATTATCTATTTATTTATATTATTATAAATTACTCTATACTATAAATATATTCAATATTATTAAATAATTTAAAAAAAACTTAATCAATGTACTACATTGTATTTTGAAAAGAATATAATTATAAAATAAAATCTTATTATTTAAAAATAATCCAAATTTTCTGTTCTTAAAATTTGGTTTTGATTTCAGCAAAACATATAGAAATATATTTAAATAATTTATATGATATATCACGACCATATGTTAGCTGTTTTTTGAAGTATAAATTATGAATTGAATGGTTGTTTTTGACATATTAATCGATTACTTACCACAAGCCAACCGGCCCTCAAAAAAGTGATTACACCAAACAAATGTATGACACATGAGGTATAGACTCCATCCCAGGTTCCAAATAATATGGGCTTTGAGAGGAAAAAATTTGATTTCCACCACTGCTTATCAAACTTATCCTTTTATTTGAAACACCAATATTTGATTAAAAGCTAATTATATTTGATTGACTGTCAGTTAGTTATAATAACCTGATTCTCAAGAAACAGTTCATTGCTTCTTAAGTCTTGCACCAGATGTGTGGTATCGGTGCCGGAGTCTAATGCTGTCCTTTGTTGATAGGATTCATTTGTGTCTAAACCATAATGAGCCCAATCTATTGGTTTAGCTGATGAATTGGATGACTCTTTATTATTTGACATCTTTACTATTCATACTAAACACTAAATACAAGTCAACTGACAATCAACTGATAGCTAACCCGATATCAACAAACATTTAGTAAAGTCAACCATATGTTAGAATTCATTTCTTTCTAAGCAAAGAATATTCTGCAAAAAACCATTACATTGTCGTCAAATGCAAACTACTCTATATTTAAGTAACAGTTAATATTAAATGATGTTAAATAACAATATTTTCATTCATAGCGAACAAACACTAGAAAATAGACCGTAGATATCGATTCATTCATTTAAAATCTACTCAACATTTGCGCACAATTACATACCACCCACACTACCTATTCATCAAAAATTAATTACATTTTATCTACTGTATACTTTATTCTAATATTGATGTAATTTTCTTATAAATGCATTTAGATTTTAAATCTAATATTATAAATAAATGTAAAACAATCACAATCCAGTAATTTATTATAAATGTATAATTAAAAATGTGATATCATTTTAAAATTATTTTAAACGACGAGTTGACATTCCAGTGGTTTCAATAAGTTTTTGATCACTTTTTTCTTGTTCCTCATAAATCTTGGCGTATTTTTCATATGGAACCGCTTCCTCATCGACTTCTTCATCCAAAGCTCTTTTATATTCATTAGAGTCTGGATTATTGGTTTGATTTCTACATCGATCCAACTTTTTCTCGATAAACTTTACCTGATCTTTGTTGGGCACCGACACTGAATTAATCAATGACCACAAAGCTATTATAATAATAATTATAGTATTATTTAATACACATATATTTCTTCATTTTTAAATAAACTCATTGTATTTATAATTACAAAACAAAATCAATGACTTACTGCTCATCACTTTTTGTAAATGTTGTATTTCATTAATTCGGTCCACAAATAATAGATTAGTTAAATAACTAAAAATAAATATATTATTAGAAAATATTATTAAATATATGAAAATGTAATACAGACTCATCCAAATTGACATTGAATTTGCTGGCAGCGTAAACAATAGCTGATAATGCTATCTATTTACCGGTATATCATAAAAATTAATAAAATGTTTATCTAATAAATAATTGTATTATATCTATAATAAAAATTTAATTATATATATATAACAATACCTGTGACGGACTAAACAAAAAGCACGCGTCCGTTGAAAGAGATGAGTCTATAAAGTAGTCAATATGTGGTCTAAACATTTCGGGATCACAATGTTGGCCATAACGGGTCTAATAAAAAAAATAATGATTACAATAAATGTTATTTAAAAATAATTATAACAATTACTTTAAGATCAATAAGAAATCCCTCGATTGGACGCAAAGGATTGTAGACATTCAAGTGATATCTCAATTGTTGCATAAGTAGTAACTCATTGTTCAGCACAATATCTGCGGCCTTCACGCGGTCGCCATTAACGTTGGCCACAAACTGAGTCATCGATACATTAAATTCGTCCACTTTTGCGGCCAAATACACACACGTGACCAGCATGTGCTTCGGGTGAAAGTCCATCACTGAGTTGTTGAGATAAAAACGCTTAAAATACTGAAATGCCGTACCCTTTGAATACAAATTATATAAAAAATAATATCAATTCATATATTTTATTGTTATTCTTATGAATCAATGAAGACATACGACAACAGACTTCGGCATCGGAGGCGAAAATTTGCGGCAAAAGTCACGCAAAATCTTTTCATAGTGTTTGGTCAGAATCGACTCCTCTTCGGGACTCAAGTAGTGATTATATACATCATTCTTCAACAAAAACACGAAAAAAATATAATTAAAGATCATTTTCATCAAGAATTGTGTCTTTACTTACATTTACTTGAGTTTCTTTAAGAGCTATAAATCGCTGATTCGCTTCAGTTCTCAATTGATTTAACTCTTCTTGTGATGAATACATCCAATACTTGTTTTGTGTTGACGACGGAAACATTGTCACCAATGGATCAGTTGTTCAGTCAATGAATGAATCAAAACAGTCAACACATGTTTATCTACTGTTTGTCATTAGTTAGTAAAATAAGGTTCAGTTGTTTACAGATGGAGTCACCACTTGTTTGCAATAAATACTAAATTATACAGTAGTTTGTAGTTTGTATTATAAATGAATTATTGGTTTCAATTTAATTTAATTTACAATTTATATAAATAACAATTATATCAAATTGTTGTTAAAAATTACTAGTAATTAATGTTTTGATTAATTATTTGACATTTTGTTAATCAATGATTATTTAATTATAATTTATATTAATTTTCACTAAATTTGAGAAATTTTTCTCTTTCTAAATACAGTATTATTATAAATATTATAAATAATTAATAATAATAATTTTTTCTCTAAATATTCCATAAATTCAATTTTTTTAAAATTTATTTAAATTTATTAATAATAAACAATAATATACTACAGTATATAAAACAATTAAATCCTTTAACATTAAAATTATTGCAATATTTAAAATTCTATATAAACTTTTATTTTAGTATTATAATAATAATATTAACTTAATTAAAACTGTTATTACTAATTTTTATATTAATTTATCTAATTTATCTAAAATGTTTAAAAATAATTGTTTACTAAACAAATAAAAAGTATTAAAAGTAAAACTAATTTTTAAAATTAGTATAATGATTTTATGGTAAATTTTCCAATAAATAATTAAGGTGCTAATAATTTATGGCAATACAAATAATAGTGTATTAAATTAATAGTATAGTTTAATTGACAACATTACATGTTATACTGCATAATACAACTTACATTAATCAATTTGATATATGAATTGAATTTTTAGTGTTAAATGTTGTAATCATGAAAACATTTACATCTATAAAATACTACACTTATATATACAGTATATTTTATGTCACAGTATAGTTAGTACATGTATTAGCAATTTACTAATTATTTAAAAAATTTGGTGAAAAAATATTAATATAAGTTATATACATATTATACAGTATGTGTGTGTTTTAAAAATCTGAAATTATTATAAAAACATATAAATTACAATATTTGCAATCATAAACATAAATTGTTAACATTTATAATCAATATAAATTATGAGTTTATATAGTGAACGTTTAAATATCATTAATCATATATTAATGGATTTATTGTGTGATTTTCTAAAACATCTTTTATTAATTAATAGAAACACTAAATATACTATTTATTCGTTTATATTTTGTTTTATATATTCAACGAAATTTGAAAGTTTGTTAATGAAATCTATTTGTGTATCGATCTGTCGTTTTTTTAAATTTTCATTTCAGATTCAAATAGAGAGCATAATATAGAATAGAATTGTCTAAAGAAATGTCATATCTTTTATGAAACATAATTAAAATATCAGACAATTATATTTTCAAACTTTTTAACTTTTTTTAATAAACTTAATTTAAATTTGGGTGAGTAAATGAAAGAATAAGTGGGTGAATGAGTGACTGAATATGATAAACTGTTCAGACACAATAATTAGATACAGTATACAGTTATAAAAGAACCTTCTGATAATGCTATTTAGCATTCTCAACTGGTTAAGATAATAAAATGCTAAAAATATTTTTTATTTATAATTAATTTTGTTTTAAACAAAAAATATTTTAAAATATGTCTCAAGACTTCAATCTTTTGAGTCAATACTAACCATTACATAACAGATCATAATTAAATAAAAAGTTTACTTTACAACAACATGTTGTCAATTATATTAATTGATTTCTAAATTCCATGTTTATACAAATGTTTAATTTAAAATTAAATTTACATGGATATTATTTTTTAATAGAAAATACATGCAAAATATATAATTTTTATATTTTATTATATTAATATTTTAAAAATAAAATATAAAGTTAATTTAATATGATTCATTTCATAAAATTTAAAAAAAAAATATTAATCTAATCAAATTAAAAATAAAATCTATTGTAAAACAATTGAAGACATTTTCACGAAACAAAACAAAAACGCATTAAATTTATAATTGTTATACTAATTTTAAAAAGTTTATATTATACTGTTATACTATTACATATATGTTATATTAAAACTTATTTATAATGTTTAAATATATATATACTTATATTATATATATATATATGTGTGTGTGTGTGTGTGTGTGTGTTTATTTGTTTGTTTAACTAACAGGTGTAAGATATCTAAATTCATTAATTTATGGAAAATAAATGATATGAATGGTATGATAAGTAAAGTAGAAAGTCTACAAAAAGTATGCCACGGAATGTATGATTGAATTAAATGATAAGAAATATTTATATAATTAAAAAAAAATATAATTTTTAAAAATACCATTAAGTTATAAATCAAAGTAAACTTTAAATACTGTGTATTAGTTGTAAGAAACCGTGAAATCAACCAAAAGGATGAATATTACAGTCTTAGATATATTGTAATTGATATCAAGCTATGCAAACATTCAATGACTTGTCTCACCCATGGATCTCAAATACCAATCCTTTAACAGTTGTAATCAAATAACTAAACAGTAAATTAATGTACAGTATGTCAACAATAATAACATTTTTAATTTATTAATTTTATTTTATATACTAATTATAATAATTAGTATACAAGGCTTATACTGTACTTATATATCAATATATTGTTTAAAAAAATAATGCGGTAATATATTTTAATCAAACTTATTAAACATTTTAAAATCTGCAAAAAAATTTAATAAAGATATATTTAAGTAAAAATTGAAGACACAATTCATTGACTACAAGACCCCTACCATTCGTACTATTCATTGGATCAAACATTGAGTTCATTATTCTTATAGAAAGTAATTGAGTTTAACAACAAATTCTCATTATTTTGCATTTCATTTACAATCTTATCGTTTAAAAATTACATTATCGGCTTTACTTCAACTATTAAAAAATGTATTTATATAAAAAAGTTTAAAAAAAGAAAGAAAAAGAGAAAGAAAGAAAGAAAGAGAGAGAGAGAGAGAGAGAGAGAGAGAGAGAGAGAGAGAGAGAGGTGAGTAAATATCTTACTATTAATACATGTATATACTGTATGTATATGAACTGATATATGTACTTTTTAAAATACTGTAATTTATATTTTATAAATTATTATAAATAAAAAATACAATCTAATACTATTGACAAGTAATATGTTAAAACATTTTTTGTGTATAAAAATAAATATTTAAAAACAAAATTTCTATAATACATTGATATAAAAAAATTGTATAATATTTAAATTTTGAAGTCAATGTAACAATTGTAGTTAAAATACATTTGCAATAAAATTAGCTAGCTTATTCATTATTCGTTATTTAAATATTTAGAGATCTGTTTTAAGATTAAATATTTTTTATTTTTTATTATTTGCAAAACATTTATTAGTGACCAAAATTTTAATTATTTTTTGTTAAACAAAGTTAAACGAAAAATTCATTAACTTTGAATACATTATTAATGATTTATTTTAACAATTATTATAACTAAAGTTTAGAAAGTTGTTTGTTTACTATAATACTGAAATATATATCTACAATAATGTTGTTAACAAAAATTTTAATTTAATATTAACTATAAAACTCATATTAGTAGTCTATATCGTTTGATACAACTTTTATATATTTCAATTTATAATGTTTCCGACTATTGTTTCTAACTAATGTATTGATTTTTGAAAGTTGATAAAAATTTATTAATAAAAATAATATTTATAATTAACAATTTATAATCATCATAATTATAAAATACTTTATTAAGTTTTGTTTATTTTTTTAGTTGAAAACACTTAATAATCACTAAACTAGTGATAATGTGAACGATAGCTCGCATCGATAATCGTTTCGCTGATACCACTGATCAGCGTTGACCACCACATATGCACCGGTTTATGGATACCAGTGCTGTAAGCGATACGGAAGGTCTGTAGGGGTTAAGTAGACATATGTTATAGTGTGAACTTTTTTGTGAATTAATTTAGAGAATTAGTTTAGTGATTGATAAGTGTTTTCAACTAAAAAAGTAAACAAAACTTACTGTATTTTATATTAAATTGTGAAAACTACTAAAAAGTTATGAGTGATCATAATTATATTTTATCATTAGTAATGTGTGAAATTGAAAAGTAAGATTTATTTAAAACATATAGTATACAGTATTTTCTAAATAAGTTTCATATTTAATTTAATTTTTAAATTACTATAAAATACTTGAATTGTTTCTAAAATCTTTTTTAGTAAACACAAAAATCTAAAGTATTTAATAAGTGACAAACTGATAAAATATTTTTCACTTAAAAATCAATACATTATTTTATACAATACAGTAATTTATAATATATAATTAATTAAAAAAACATTTGAGAATGCTAGGTAATATTATTAAATATTACAAAAACAAACATTTAGAAAGTATATATAATTGTTGTGTCTAAACAGCAATATAAACATCCACCCACTTACTCATTTACTTACTCACCCAAATATAAATAAGTTTATTAAAAAAAATCAGTATAAATACATACACACACATACAGAATCTGTATTACAGATTAAGGATAAAAACTAATAGTTTGATATTACTACCCAATATAATTTTACTAATTAACCAAACTGCAAATAAATTTAATTTTATAATTGATACTAAGATTGAGATTAAAAGTTAAAATTATATATATATATATATATATATTGTTTCAATAAAACATACAAAAACAACAATAATTATCTTATTTTGTGGAATATTGAAGTGATATTACTGTATAACCAAATTCCCTCCTCTTTGGGAATTTTGCCCAAAATCTAGTTATCAAACAAAAATCTAATTATAAATCGTGAAAACTTCTATAGAATATTATTTACATCACCAGTATTTTAAAATAAATAAATCAACAATATTTGGTTAAACAATGAGTTAAAAACAGGTTATTTATTGGAAATAATAATTAAAAAAATATTTACTTATTTGAATAATGTATAAAATTGGATTAGTATAAATGAAATACAAATAATTAGTGCATTAATGAAT